CTCGGCCTGTGTTTTGAGGGATGTGACAGTTACTGTGCCTAGGTGGAGTGGATTCATTTAGGCTGACATATTCTTCCTGCTGTAACCATGTTTCAGTAAGACACAATAAGTCAATGTGATGTTCACTTATCAAATCATTCACTAACAGAGATTTAGATGAGAGAGATCTGATATTTAATAGTCCACATGGAAAAAGTCCATTCATTACTGCAACAGATATTATTTATGGCTGCCTCAGAAACTCAAATGGAGAAGCGTCTTAACTAAAGGTAAAGCAGAACAGAGCCCGTGGGAAGCGGGTAATTAAGCAGAACATCTCTTGATGCTCTGGTGAAACTCCACTCTCCATGCAGAAGATGAATCACACCATTGTCTGTGTTACCAAATTACATAAGTGCTATGGAATATTCACTCAGCTCAGCTGCTTAGCAGAAAAGGACAGAAACTGAATGGCCACAGCTTGAGCTTGGGTACAAAGTATACTGAGAACAGTGAAAATCCACAGCCTGTCACAGCTGTACGACCGTAGGCCTCTACAGCTGTATATTACTTTGTTCTGCATTCTCATGTTTTATCTCTGCATGCATTTTAATGTTTTATCCATTTGTGTGCAATGTATTAAGCATTTTGAACTGACTGTATGAAAATGTGCTATATAAATAAACTGGCTTTGGCTTGAGTGACTTATGTGGGTCACACTTACTGTACATAAAACTGTTTAGGTTCTGTTGTTGTTATTTACAAAACCAGAATTGATCATTTTCCTTATGTAACCAGTGAAGCAATTTATTTGAGCTAAATTTACTGTACACTTAAGTTTTACTGTTAGCAGTAAGCTGTCACTGTGAAATCTGTGTGTGAATCAATATACACAGAAGAGTGCCAGAGAAAGCAGATGAAAAGACTGTTTCGCTCTGAATCACACGTTGTTCGGCAGCTCATCCTCAAACCAAATCATTTCAAAGATTGCACGCTTAATATGGCAAAACTCTGTGCCTGGAGGAGATTACTTGACCTGACTGTGGGAGGGGAACTCAGCTAATTTTAACATTCTCTATTTCAACACCTACAGCTAATATTTCATGTGCCTGTGTCCACGGCATTATAATACAACAAATTGCCCCAGGCTATCTCACACATTTTCAATCACTAATCCTGTGTGTGAACACATATTTGTGTTTTCACCCATAATAACAAGACCCTTAATGCTGGGTGTCAGCTGCCTGTCTCTGCCTGCCAGACTATTGTGAGAATGCTTATGGCATGACATATGTAAGGTGTGGCACATTTCGACAGTAAAATAACCATTACCGCCTGCATTTAAACAGAGGGACAGCTTTTAGCAGGCAGAGCTTATGGACGCAATAGTAAGACCGGGAGGCTGACAGATGTGAGTGGCTGAGTGACTGTTAGGAACTACACAGATCCCACAAGAGTCCAGACAAGAGCAGACACATCCCTAACATTCAGACTAAACAAGGCCGCATAATTAGAGCTATAATTCAGCGGAGCAGCCACAGCACACACTATGAGCCTCTGTCCTTCGTAGAAAGGGTACAACCTACTGTCTCATTCAGACCGAAATTAAACTGTCTGAACACTGGGCTCTTGTCTGTTCAAAGCCATTTAGAGATAGTGAATTTGGTTATAACATCATATGCAACAGTGTGAAAACATGAGGAATAAAAAAATGCTCAGTGTTCAAAAAGGTTAATTTACAAAACAGCAATCTCATGATAACAAAGCTATAATAATCCTCATAGCCCTGAGCCAACAGATTGGAGAGATGAAAACCTGCTGAGGGAGAGGTTTAGTAGCTACCTTCCTGTAGGCATACTTACAGATATCTGGTGATTCGTCCGAACCATCTGGACAGTCCTTCTCCCCATCACAGTGCCAGCCTTTGGAGATACAGGTCACCTGGTCCTTGCAGACAAATTGTTTAGAGCTGCAGGTCCTGGGATGGTCGTCAGCTTTGGGAGCTGAAAAAGGAAAGAGGGAAAGTTGATGGATTCTCACAAAAAACAAGTGGTTAGAATGCTTTTAAATCAAACATACATTTGGAAAGAAATGTCATTCTCAAGTACCCAGTCTCAGAAATACCAGCATGATAGTAAATTGTTTCTAGGGTTATTCTTCAAGCGCTCTTCACATAACAACCGTTTTCTCCTGTACAGAAAATACGCATGGCATTTCCATTTTAAGGCAGCAACTTAACTCAGCGCAGCAATGCCACATGCAAGGGTCAGCCTAAGTTTACAATGACGTTTCTGTAAGAAAAGGCCCATAAGCGCGCTCTAGAAAAAAAATTTGCCTACAACCAATTTTTAGTTCCGGATTAGTTTATTGTTTCCCCTCTTCTTACAGACAACTTGTTTCTTTCTGCCTTTTTTCTTATTACACTTAAGGTGTTTTTAGCTCTCACCACAGAAGCTCTTTCATGAGTCACAGCACAGACATAACTGGGCGTTCAATCACCAACTAACCCCTGGGAAACTACAGAGCACCGCAGTTCTGGGCAGTAGGTCAGCACAGATTGTTGAGGTGTACCACAGGCCAGCAGCACCACAGTCCTTCTCATGACCCATCGGCAGTCCGACACCGCTGACGTGCTTTAAATCAGCTGTGGTCAAGAGGAGCTCTACCTTCATGGGACTTCCTCGGTCTGTCAACAATAAATTTGTCATTTATCTAAAAATATATGTCAAAAGGTTGGTTACTTTCACACTTCGCTTTTGTGGCATTTAGCCACACAGATAGTTTTAGCTTCACTTTCTCAGATTGAGATTTCTGCCTCCACCCTAATTTACAGTAACTGTCCTGCTCATAACAGTAAAAAATTACTACAGAGTCTATTTTTCAATAAAAAAATCATTCCAATGAATGAGTTCTCTGGATTATGGAGTGATAGGAACTTTTTTTCTGGATAGAAACACTGACGTTAAAGGTTTAATAGAATTTGATTCATGATCTGTAGCCAAAATCTCTGATATCTAAAAATCGGGATAAATAAAACCAAAACTCTCTGCATGACTATACATCACGAAGCTCATAAGAACATCAGTTTGTTTTTGTAATTTAACTGAACTGACCCTTTAAATGGAACAAAAGGTTAATTAAGTCTGTGAAAGTACATTTTCGACACACATTAATGACATAATCCTTCAGTAAAATAGCCAAATCTAAAATCTAATCTCAGTAGAGATTAAAACAGAAAAAGCTGAAACACTCTGGAAACATTTTTCTCCCATTATAAGGACGAATGAAAATATGTTGCCAAACACATACAGTACAAGACAAATGCTTCCTATTTACGTAAGCGGTCAAAAATGTTACACACAATGGAAAAAGACAATGGCCAAAACAGGCAGATGGTTGTTGTTACTGTACTGTTGTGCAGCGATGCTCTGGGAAAGACAGCACCAAAAGTCTAATTGTGATTCTGCGGGAACTGAGATCCTTTCTTACCCTGGATGACTTGCCTCCCTGCGTACTTGGCAGGCGGAGAGGTGTTTGGGGTGGGCAGAGTGGGAGGGGGATCGGTGGGGGGAGCACGCCGCAAAGGGGGCTGGGATGTGACTGAAATCACAAGAGACATGAGCCTAGTGTCATTGCAATCACGTTCCTTTTGACTGTGAGATTTAGGGGTTTGGGCCCTGGTGTGTATCATGTGACAGTGAAATGCATGTGTAAGGCAAACACTAATGTCATGTTGGTGTAAATACAACCAGAGATCAGATCACAGATTTTCAGATATGAACAGCACCTTCATATTTGAAGAGATTTAAGTGAAAGAAAGAGGGATGGACTAAGCATGACCCCATTCTTCTCTTCACACAATGGTAGGGCAAGGCTTGCAAAATAGAATTCAAGTGATGCAAGAGAACAAGATTTAAACTCAGCTGTGAGATGCTATAATAAATGTCAGGAGGCTTTGAAGAGATGTAATATTTGAGATAAGAGCAACAAAAAGAAGCCCTCGGTGAAGGGATGAGGGGGAGGGTAGCCGTGGACTGTCATCATCTCATTAGTTTAGCTTCTTTTTTAGATGCATCAATGTCCTGATACATTCGGTATGGTGATAAATATACTGAATTTGCTTTTGCTTATATGTTGTCATTTCATCTCCTTAAACACCCAACAACCAAACAAACAGCCATGTTGACTGGGCCGTGGGGTGACATGAGTACAGCGCTGAAGTGTCCCCTGTGAGAAGGAATTCCCTCAGTCTCTAAGGTCCCTGTGTGAAGCCGCCGGGCTGCACCACTTGTTCCCCGTGAGTGGTCATAAACCTGCAAACAAAACACGAAGGCTTCTATTTTATCATCCCTTCACACACCAGCATGAAAAAAAACGCAGAGGGGAGACCTGGGAGGGACTGGCAGCCCACCCCTTCAGCAGTCCTCTTTTCAAAGCCCACTGAAATATCTCAAACAGAGAAGTTACTGCCAAAGTGCCACAGTTTTTGGAGGGTCCAAATCAGGGTGTGATGTTAAACCATCTGAGACCTTACCTACAAAAAAAAAATAGAAGAGAAGGGCTTTATTCAGTCTCCCAGGACTGGCCCAGCAGCAAACACCAGTACCTCTGAATCAAGGTACATAGTCCCCTTACAGGAACTCCTATAAGCCCAGTGTATTCACCTCCAACAGAGTTCTCTCCTCATAATGCAGCTAAAGTATTTCGTGCCACAGCTAAATGGCATCTTAGTCACACTGGTGTGACTAAATGTTAGGAACCTCACAAAATTAAAATATTTTAACCACAAAACATAGGGATTATCACATAAAAAAACAAATAAATTCACCCTCTGTTGCTTGTGACTGTTTAAAGGCAGTACAGTGTAGAGTTAAACATGCAAAACTGTTCCCTAAGGCAACTATCCTATGGGTCTGTGAGTAAAAATACATCTAATTAGAGAGGGAAATGAGAAAACTAACCTTCAGCCTCAGTTAAAACCCTCAAGAGTTTTGAATTTCACACCATGATGTAGTAAGGGCAACTGTGGAATGTCTGCAGGAAGCAGAGTTTCTATTTTCGAAGAAAACATACACCATGTACAAATATCTTTAGTTGGCTGGCTTAAAAAAAAACAAAACACAGCATGTTTTTAAAACAGCCGTCTCCCATAAAAACCATAACGCCAATCTCTGTCACCCTGCTGTAGGTACAATATGCACATTAACACAGATTTCACTGAAAGTATTTTTATGGGAGTGTGGTAGAGTAGAAACATTAAATATTAATGTTGGGAAAGTCCCTGAGGCAGAACTCTAGGACAATGTCCTATAGACATGTGACTAGTGTTTCCACCCAACTAAACATCACAAAACAGATAAGATCTTACTTTGAGAAAAAACTCAAAGGCACATATTTGGTATGTTTGTAGTCAAACAGTGAAATCATCAGCCCTCACTCTACCTCACTGTCTTGTGAGATCAATAAATCTCACAAACACACTTCCTGGTATGTGGATGCCCAGGCTACAGTGGGCTGACTTGGTTTGACTAAGCACACTGCCAGATGTATGGAGCACACAGCGTATTTACTTGTGCAGGGCCACTGGAGTTCCTCGCTGTCTAAACAGTGCACACTGAATTGCCCCTGAGCACTGTGCATGATGAAAAGCATTAAACATGAGCGACTGAGCAAATGCATAAACATACACAGAGCCAGGCTCTTAGAGAAATGTGCCTCCTGAAGGCCCAATAAAAAGAAATAAAGTACTTCCAAGGCCATTCTTTCATCTGCAAGAGGAAACTTTAGGTGTCGTTTTATGTACTGTAATCCAGAAACCTGGCAAAACATCTCTAAAAGGCAACAGGGAACTCTGTGGGGTGAAACAGGATGAGATGGTGAGTAAACTGTGTTGTGGCACTAATTCAGCAGCCAAGTGATGGAGGCCTCTAGCCACCATCACCAGCTGGGACACAACGCTGACCCACTTTCCCCCCAATCTGTCTCCCTCAATATGGCCATCCCTACTCCCCAAATTAACTCCAGATCCATGCAGCACATTCCAGCACCTTCTAATTTATTTCATGTGTATAGCTTTGCCTCAGAAAGACAAATCTGTTACAGACGAGCAGCTACATTTTCAAGAAACCAAAGAGCTTTGCTTTTGAATTCAAAGAAAAAGTACACTTTTGCTTGATTCTATTTGCTGCAAGACTGCCACTGAGTGTACATACAGGGTGTAAGAGAGGAGTGGCTTCATGCTGTGGTTGTGTTTGGCTGTTGCAGGCTTTAGTTAAAACACAAGCATCCAACACTAAGCACATCCTAGCATTCAACCAATCCAACCGCCTTGTGGATCAAATCTAGCCTGAGCAATAGAGCATGGATTCTATTAAATTCTGTTAAAAGAACAATACAATTAGAAATGTGAAATGACTGGAATTAAAGAATAAATAAATGGGATTCTGGGTCTCAGTGGTCTTACTGAGTACAATGGCAGTGACAGGAGAAAATGGGAATAAAACCAGCACTGTTTCTCATCACCCACCACTTTTCCCCATCCTGGTCCTCCATTGTGGAACTCAGGTCTTCCAGAGTGTTTCGGGGAATGAGAAGAAAAAAAAAGGCTAAACAGACTACAGAATGTAATTAGACCCCTGAGGTCAAATCTGAAATGATCTCTCTGTGCTCCGTTTAGCAGGGTTTCAAAGCAAGAATCCATGCTTTATGAGTAACAATTAAAGCCAAACAAAGACCACAGAGAAAATAATAAGGGCAGAAGGAAGCCATTATTTCTTCTTTTTTGTGCTGTATTAATTATTTAAATAGAAGCGTTTTTTTTTACCTTTTAGATGCAAAATATGGCATGCTATGATATAAGACACTAAGAAGGGCAGAACGCGCCCATATGCAAGAATAGAGACAAGTTTCTACCTCTTGTATGGCCCTGCTCTAGTATAAAAGAGGATTAGAGCCACTGTTAAAAATATATTTGACTACTGACTTTTTTCCCCACAGAATTCTGACTTAAAAAAAAAAAAGTCCGCTTTCAAGGCAAAATCCTCAGTTTGAAGGCAGAATTTGGATATTAAAGAGAATTATGGTTGGGGGTCAGAAGTCAGAGAAAAAATACTAAGTTTAACGACAGAATTCTGAGGAAAAAAAGACAGAAGTTAAACATTTTTTACAGTGGCCCTAATCCTCTTCTGTTCCCCTACCAACACTTTATCCACTGAATCAACTGTCACCCACTTCAATGCCCATCCAATGGAAATAAACACTTATCTTTGTGTCAAAACAAACACACACACACACACACACACACTAGAGCACTTTAAACAGTACACATGGTGCATATAATGTCCACAAGCTATTCAAATTTTAATCCACAACAGCCATTTTCAAAGAAGCTGAACATGCATAAACAGAGTTTGAGGACCTACTCTTGTGCCTGAAAACCTTGTTTGTGTGTCATCACACAACAAAGGGGTGCAGCTTTGACATCGGAGGTAACCTGACCTCTGCAGAGCATCACAGGCCAGAGGAGTAAAATGCAACACAGTAAGAAGACGTACACCGAGTGATTGTGATTGATGGAGAGTAAGATACTGTAAATGTAAATGGGCTCACAGTGCTGCCAAACAAGAGTTCTTCTACATCCGCCCTGTAGTCTCTGCACAGCACAGCTCTGTGGCCCCACAGAGGAAAAGTCAACCCAGATTCAGAGCCACAAAATGAAGGCTGGACCATGTAAAATTGGGGCCTTGACTGTAACTGAGATGACTGTAAATCCTGGCTCGCCTCTGTCTGCTGAAGCTACCAGGAAAAAACATGAAGGGCTACAGGAATACGTATGAATCAAGAAGATATACATCAGTTGAAAGATGAAACATTTCTGAGCTAATGCAAGTGAATCTCTATGAATTAGATTTACTTTAAAAGAAACTTTAGAGAGTAATGTCCCTGGTTCAGTACTCAAACAATGCACAAATGAGTGGTCATCCACTTCACATCTTAACAGATGATCTCCTTGTTCACCAGTGAGAAATCCTAAAGCTTGGTATCCAAAACAGCACATATTTAGAGACATCATCAAATAAATGACAGGAAAGCAATGCAAAAAAAACTGAGTATATAGAGCCTTTTTTTCCACATGCAAAAAACCCAATGAATCTTGTAGAGCTGCAATAACACACACCCACACTCCCTATTTTGTTAAAGAAGCCGATCGGTTGCTTTCTGGGTCTCAGGAGCTAAACAGGGTAAACACTGATACTGCTAGCAGAAAACACCAATTACGGAACACCCCTGCTATTAACAATCAACAAGCACTCTTTCATCTACATTCTTATGCATTCGCTCTGTGGAAAACCACACTGAAAACATGCTTTCACTTTGTCATTATGGGTTATCGAGGGTACACAGTAAAGCAAATAAATGCAAAGAAGCGTTTAGATACTCATTCATTCATTTTCTACCGTTTAGTCCCTGAACGGGGTCACAGGGGGGGCTGGAGCCAATCCCGGCCGGCAATCGGGCGAAGGCGGGGTACACCCTGGACAGGTCGCCAATCCATCGCAGGGCTAACACATAGACGAACAACCACACACACACTCCTATGGGCAATTTAGAGACACCAATCAACCTAAGCTACATGTCTTTGGACTGTGGGAGGAAGCCAGACTACGCGGAGAGAACCCACGCAAGCACAGGGAGAACATGCAAACTCCACATAGAAAGGGTCCCAGGTGGGGCCCGAACCCGGAACCTTCTCACTGTGAGGCAACGGCGCTAACCACTGCGCCACCGTGCTGCCCCTTTAGATACTTTCTGAATCAATTGTATGTTAGGTTTTACCTTCTAGTCACAGTTGATTGCAATGCAGTGCAGCACTGAGGTTGACAAAGGGGGAATCTTCTCTGCTGCTATTATCATTTCACAAATACTTTCACTACGTTAGGACCTAAATGCAAAATACCTGTACATAAGCTCTACATAAGATTTCATGCAACCAAGCCAAAGAACTCGGACACTTTGCTATATTTCACTCCCGAGAAGATTAAATGGCAGAAAGTCACTGTGGTACCTGATAAGAGTGCAGTCAACAGACAGGCTCACGAGTAGATAGAGAGTTACAATAACCACTTCCCAGTGACCTTCAATTGGAAGAGCTGTGGAGGGCTATCCGTGTTCTATCATCTCTTTAACTTGTATGAAAGATGCTGAATTTTTCCAACAGAATGTTCCAGTAACACTTCTGAAGTAAAGATAAAGCTAGATCCCGTTATGAAGGCAAACAGAAGGTAGGCTCCTCAGGAATTCAATGTCTTTGACCTCTGACCCACATTTATACTTTTCACCAACAAGCTCAGACGTCATACTGTTACCCAACATGTATGTCTTGATGCTATAAACAAAGTATTCTTAACATAGTAGTTTTTGGCTGCATTAAACAGAAAGAAAGTCACTTTCGGCTTTTCCCGTTTTAGGGGTCGCCACAGCGAATTGTCACACTGACGACTCGCATGTTGACATTTGGCACGTGTTTTACGCCGGATGCCCTTCCTGATGCAACCTGGATTCAAACCCGGGGCACCGTGGCGAGAGCACTGCGCCTTAACCACTAGCCTACCAGGTTTTGGCTGCATTAAATACGGAATGCAATTCTTAACTTCAATATGAACAGCTCACATAAAACTTGCTGTTATGTGAACTAGACCTGAAACAATTTGATTAATTCTGATTGTCAGAAAATGTATTAGTAATATTTTGATCAGGGTTGCAACAAAAAATTGAATTCATTATTGATTAATCTAACATTTCTTGATTAATTGAAGCCCAAATTTGATTAGCCAACAACTGTCAGCCCTGCATCAGCTTGTGTGTTTGTGCCATAGACCTCTGTTGCATTTAAAAACTACTAAAAACATTTTTCATAACACCAGGCCCAACTATGTTGCCTCAAATTCTCCAAGCGGCGATAATTTCCCAAAGTTACCATGAGTCAGAGTCAACTGCGCAAGCTCTTTGCTCTGTTTATTTTCTGCTAGCTCCTCATGCTCAGGTCTGGGATTTGTTAATGAGGAAATTCATTTGCTAGACAGGCAGTCCATTGTCATTTTTAATCTCTGTTAGGTGAGTGCTGAACATACTATCAATATAGAAAACGACCAAGTAGCAGGCCCTAGGGTTTTCATCCACTCACTGTCTAACATTTTGGTCCGACACTGCTCCATTGGCAGGCTGGTAAATGAACTGTAATAATGGCACAGGACCACATATCATTTCGCTGACACCCTGTGATGTAACTATAGATTCAGAGAGTATCCAAGACTGATTCCTGGATGTTTATTTCACTTCTCCCACCCTCAGCCACGCTAGCTCTTCAGCTGGTTCCCACCCCACATTATGTAGTCACATCTAAGTTGGATTAATGGTCTCCCTGTGTCCAGATGTTACATACCAAAGGAGGTGGGAGGAGCTTGCAGATTCAACAGCTTCAATCAAAAGCCTTCCAACACAGAGAAGGCAGAGGCAACTTTTTCAAAGGCATTATTTGCTGTAATTGGGCAGTGGCAAAATGAAGGTTTTAAAAGCACTGTGCTTCTTAACATCAAAACAAACATGCACTGAAGAAAAGAAATTAACTGTCAGGCTGATATTATATAAGGTTGTTAGGTCACAGTTCTGCAGGAAAGAGGACATCAATACTAGTACATGACCTATTCCCCCATACTGTTTTACATTCATAAATTATTCTGCAGGACTGACAGCAGACCCCAGAATTAGGAGGCTATCATGCTTTCTAGAAAACTGATTCATAGTACTATTTATGTAAGTGCACATTTAAATACTGAATGCTATACATGTGTAAAAATGCATAGACATGCTTCGTGTTTCCCTTCAAGTACCAAGGAAAGGAAAAAGCAAGTTGTTAGATCAACAGGTCTGCAGTGTTTTGTCACAAGAGCAACGGGGCTTTCAGTATCTCTAAATTATTATCAGGGATTCTGGAGCATTACGAAACTCCGAGGACATAAGAGGATAAACCCTCCAACTATCACCATCACACAGTAGGCTACCTGGCTGTCACCAATACACTGTGATTTCCATGCAGCTACACGTCGGGACAAGCCGCGCCATTAAGATTATACGTTTACAAGCACACACAGCTGTTGTTTTCATGTGTGCCAAGTAACTGAAAACAAACATGAAAACTGATCTGAGACATGGATCCCACAGGTTTGATACGAAACCCAAGCGCGCTGCGCCAATTTTGTCAATAAAACCAGCACGTTTTCGTAGCTCTCAGCTAAAGCCACACAGAAATTATACAGGACTTTGTATTTTCCTTGGAAAACGAAGAGAGGATTGAGCCATTTTGTCGCAGTCAATCAAAAACGATGCTGTTTTGTGGAGATAGGTCGTTCGTGCCAAGTGTTGCAATAGCATTTACCTGGGAATATTTGAACGGTGAAAGCCCTCACAGCCTGCCATCCTTGCAGACAGGCCCAGTCTGTCTGCTCAGACAGGAGCACTGCTGAAAGCGCAGGCACATTCTAGGCCAAAATCATCAGCGCCCTGTTAATTTGCACCGTACTTTCTCTGATTAAAGCCTTCCCTAATTATCGATCTCTCCCTCTGAGGAGACTGCCGCGGTACACTGTTATTATGGAGACAACCTATTAGTGGTGTTGGCTCCAACTCCGGCGAGAAGGCCTGTGCACAGATGCTTTACAGAGAAAAAAGTACTCATGCCTTCTGGAGTGTCACAATGCAAGATAACACAACGGGCTCCTTACCTATGGTTGCACCGTTAGGAGATGCAATCTCCAAGGAGAGTATAAATCCTAGGTAGAACAATCTCATCGCCATCTCCCGAGCAATGCCCGATGGCACTGCTGTTAGAAAGGAAAGGAGGAAAAGTTGGCTGGATTTCTAGAACCAAACAATCCGATCATGCACCTCATTCGAAACCCTTCAATGGTCCGGGTGCGACTGTCCGTTCAGTTGCACCCTCAGCTCCGCACGGTGGCCGCTTCAGGCGGGCTTAGGCGATTAAAGGAGACTTGCTACAGCCCGGTGAGGCTATGGGTGATGGAGAAGCACAGTCATGTATATTTCTAATTGATTATCGGCATTCAAACATGATGTCCAATGCACCTTCTTTCTCTCTGCTTGCTCGAGTCTCTATTTCACCAGAATCGTCCACTCGTAGAGAAGCCAAGAGCCGCCAGCTCCGTTCAGCTCATTCCGTACCAAACTTTAAAAAGAAAATAAGAAGCAATCGCGTGATTTCCCCTGGGGGCAGCAGCGTCTCAGTGTGCTTGTGGCTGCACGAGTAGATGGTGAATCTCACAATCTCCAGCACCGTGGATGAGCCCGTGACGTAACGCTCAGCTCATGAAAAACTGGATAAGCGGTCTGCGCATGCGCCCTTTCTGGAGGCGTGACGGTGAGAGAGCGAGCAGTGGAGAGGGAGACGTCGCTGCAACTAGTAGCATGACCGGCCATGTTGGCTCGACGTTTCTACATACTTGTGTTTTTCTCGTTACGAAATTAGTTTAATGAGTCCCGATAACGTTGGAAACAGCTAATTAAACACACATGGGGCACCTGGGGCAAAACTTTGTGGTTGGGCTCCTGCTGTTTCCCAGTAGGCATACATGTGGCAATTTCATGATTTCCCCAGAGACTGAGAAACCAAACAGTAGCCTACTCTAGAGCTGAAATGATTGGCTGATTAATTGGGTTGTTGTTAAGTGGTTAATTATTTTGGTTATTTTTAAGATAATATGAAAAAAAAATCACTGCATCACAAAAGCTGAATATTTGCTAGTTTTCTGTGAGTAAACTGAAAATGTTTGGGGTTCGGATTGTTGCAGAGCAAAAATGTTAGCTAAGTAACAGCATTTTTAACTTTACGGAAATTTTATACACAAACAATTGATTATTATTCAGTGATTGCTGGTTGAAGCCTTGCAGTACGTCTTCAGTGGCAAAAAACGTTGGTTTAGTTGTTCTAGTGTGTATTAGCTGACAAAAAAAATTATAAACCAACATTAAAACATGTTCTCCCTGTGCTTGCGTGGGTTTTCCCCAGGCATTCATCCTCCCACAGTCCAAAGACATGCAGCTTAGGTTGATTGGTGACTCTAAATTGCCTGTAGGAGTGAAAGTGATTGTCTGTCAGCCCTGTAATAGACTGGCGACCTGTCCAGGGTGCACCCCAGTGCCAGCTGGAATTGGCTCCAGCCCCCGTGGCCCTCTTCAGGATAAGCAGTGTAGATAATGAATGTATGGAACTTTAAAACAAACAAACAAAATATTAAAAAATGTCATTTTCAATTACATTTTGACACACTACAAGACCAACACTAAAAGATGGAAGGCCCATCAGTGGTTCACATTAGTAAAAAAAACTGTGATAATACAAATTATTGGATCACATGCTTGTTCACAGTTAACATTATTTTCCTTACCATGTACAGTTCTTCATACAGGTCTATGTCCTATTAGTGGGTAGAGTCTAAAACATTTATCAACTGCCTTCCTCTGCATAAAAAGGTTAAGTGACTAAAAAATATTAAATACTTTCAACCATGCAAACGTGATATAGCCTATAGTCCAAACATCATTTGTTTTTGCTATTGTTGAAAATTCCTACTTTGAATCAGTTTTTAATAGACACCTAAAAAAGTACTTCATATAAACTCAATGACATTGTCTTTTTCACACCCACACATTCTGAACTGCATCTAGTTTACTAGTTAAAAATAGCAAAGCTTGAAGTGAGAATGCTCAGTAAGGTATTATACAGTAGATCGTCCTGTGGAAGACCCTCAATCTTTGCATTCTTCACTAAATCATGCCCCCTAGTGGCACATAAAAACCGAAAACATGCAGGATTGTGGCTATAGCTACATGTTTTATAAAATGCACAGCAGTGCAATGGTCTTCTCAGCCTCAAGTAAAGATCATTTATTTACAAAAATAGCCATTTTGGTCAGCAATAAGGCCAAAAAATATTTTCTAGTGAGAATTATTATGGTTTGTAAGGGTTTAACTTATCATGCATGCAGTATGAAAACAATGTATAACCAGACCTGCATATAAAAATGAAGTAAGTGAATTAAATATGAAAATAAATATGAAAATATTAACAGCATGGCCCTAACTGCAAAATAGGTGGTCTCATTCTTAACAAATGTAGGCATCTTCAGTGAAAAGGAAAGATTGTCATAAGTTGCCTTTACTAAATTGTCTTCCACAAGACAAGTGTAAATTTAACACATGAACTGTTTTTAGCTTTGAATAAACAGCATCTTTGTGAAAATTATTCTTTAGAGTTGTGAATCTATGACAAGGTATTCTCATAAACCATCTACACCTGTAGGGGGCACTGAATACTTAGATTACAAAGAGATATACAAACTAACTCATTTTACTAACCTAACAAAAAAGATCCAACTATTTGATGCAATACTTGGTTAATTGTACATGGCATACCCTCTAAGGACGTTCTGATCAAAAGGAATATGAGTGGATCTTTGCCCTTACTGCAGCCATTTTGTAACTGAAACACTAATAAATTATTTTTTCTGGAAGTCTGTGATGCTGTGTGTCTTCTTTTCTCACAGGTTTTTAATCTTGGGTATTACGTGTACTTCACACTACACATACTGACAGTAACCTCACTACCACTGGCGTAAAGTATAAGCATGCCTTACAGCGGTTCTCAGTTTGCAAAAGTGTTTACCCAGAGCCAGAATCACAAGGGGAGAATGTGAAGTATGTGGAGAATCTGTGAAAAATATGCCTGAAATGTCTGTGGAATATGTTGAATCCAACAATATTTTCACTCAGAGAATCAAAGCAGAATATAAAGACACAGAAAGTTTGAGGGAAAACAGTAAAAATAACAGTATTTTATATGGGATTTTTTCCCATGTATTTCTATAACACTCCCTTTCAAGTTCACCGGAGAACACAATTATGGATTCTAGCAAGTTTGTTTAATTTATATTTACATAAGTGTCTCTCCTGTTTGTCAGCACAGAATCGACATGATTGCTGGTGTCACCTCAACCTGAAAATGCCCCCTTTGTGGGAGGAGGGTTGAGCATTGTCATCCAGGAAAGGCAGACGCCAGCACGCTGTGTGGGAGACAGCTTGAGAGAGTGCCAGCATAAACACTGCCAGACCACATGTTCTCCCAGGGCAGAGGAGCTGGCCTCTCTCCAGGCGCATCTGCACACAATCCTTCAGCTTTTAGCAAGCCAGCTAAGGAGGCAGAGCAGGGCAAAGAAGGGAGAGAAAAGGGGAAGGGCAGCGTTCCCAGACAGAGAGAACCTGCTTCCTCTGTGACAGCAGTGTCAACAATGGAAGTGATGACATTTGAAAAATAAATAAATAAATAAAAAGCAGCAGCAGAGGGAGGATCATAAGAATCTACTCTCTGTATGCAAAGGTAATAGACATTCTGTGTGTAAAGGCTGACAATGCAAACTGCACGTCACATGCCAAGGTCTGCTTGCTACAACCATTACCCAACCTGCCCATATCCGTGAGAGAAGATGGATTGCACTATAAATCAAGCTCCTGACTCTCACACAGTCGCCATTTGCATCTGTAGCCGCACTGCGTACATGCACCATTCTTGTACTTTTCCAAGAATTTTTACTCTAATTCTTAAAAAATAGATTTCTAATGTTTTACTTCTTTAAAAAAAAAGCTCCTATTCTACCCAAGTGTAAATGTGCTCACATCCGCCTCTGACATATCCCCTAACAACTTTTCTTGCTTAGTGCATGTTTTCACAGAGGCATAATTACTGAGCATGCTATGCTGACAACACCTGAGGAATGTGGAGCATGCACCAGCAGCCTGTGTTCTCCCACCAACACCCCCATCCTAAATTGCCCCCATCTGCAACACTCCCACCTCCATCCCACTAATAAGAGCTCGGGTCCAACACAAAGTTCACCATGACATGCTCACAGGACTCTTACATTTGCAGATAATGCAGGTGTTACTTTATGTAATATTTTGGTTGTTCTAGCAGGAAACATACCTCAGCTCTATATTATTGGAGAATAAACTGTGTGACTGTAGTTAGTATACAGTTACATTCCCATCAGATTGTTTAAGTGGATGAAACCCTATCCAAAAACCCACAGCTCCCAGCAGGCTTCACTATTCCCGTTAGTGGTGGTGAATTCAGTGTGTGTTGGCTGGCCCGGGCCCTCTGCTCACTGAGTAACTCCCCAAACTGTCCTTGAGCTCTGCGGAACTCACAACCCATCTGGCTGAATACTTGCACACGCATATCAAAACACTGCATGGATTGAAACGGATCTGACCGGAGAGAACGATGTCAGTGCAGAATAATGTTATTTTTATGCAAATGCAAACAATACATCAAGTTTTGACACTGTGTGCTTGCATGTGTGTGGGAGACAGAGAGGTAGAGGGAGAGACAGACATTATGAATTCTGCTGAGCCTCTCCCGTCTGTCTGACTAGACCAGCATGATGAAATCTGGATGAAATCCCTTGTGCATGTAGACCAACAAAAGTATATAAACATGTCCTCTGTCTTTCTGCACTGCCGGGTTTTGCAGTTATATATGTATTATGCAAATGCTATGATTAAGCAGAACACACTGTATGGCTGAGTGAATAATTGCATATGTTTCCTACACACTCGAGGGCTAATAACTCCGGGTACGCAAGACAAGGCAAAAGGGTCTGGGGATTTAGTTGCCAAGCAACTTCTGACACAAACATTTTTTTAACAATTTATATAATGAGAGCTGTTTAAAAGCATGACAGCTGAGGAAAAGAAGGGAATATGAGATATTTTTTGAGTAGGTTAGACAGTTATTTATCAAGAATTATTTCTGGGTTAGCTCCAGAAAGATTAAGATTATTCAGTTTTTTACCACAGCCAAATAAAACACCATAACAAATGTCAGGTATATGTTCACCAGATCAATGCGTCGAGCTTCTCACTGACTATATACTATCCTCATTTAACTTATATTACTTTGATTGTAGCTATGTATGTAGCTAGTATGTAGAACATTTAAACCCTTTGTGTTCATGTTTTTAATGTTTTTGCATTGTTTACTTGAATTTGTTGTATATTTAAAGGCAAGAATCTATTTCAGAGCCTCCATGATCCTCTGTAGCTAATGGTTAGCCAGCTGCTAAATTATGAATACATGTAATTTGTTTAGTGCGTCATGAGGGTGTAAATGGTGTTTCAAAGCTTTTCTACCCTTACAGGATGCATCTGTGCTCTTTGACAAAATGCACAAACTGTAAAAGAGAGCAACAATGTTAGCTGCAAACCAGATAACCAATTTTTATACATCTTAATTTGTGTTGCCTGTAAAATACAAATACTTTGATGCCATACTTGGCTATTCGCTGAAGTCACAGTTAACAGAGGCTCCAGTTAAGAAAACAAGGATGTGACATTTGAGTTTGTAAAAATGCATATTTTGATGATTAGGCTTTTTTTTTAGGAGGGATTTGAATAATGAAGGCTGTTGCTCCCAAAGACTTGGACCTACATAAAGTTCTACATTACCAAACAACAGTTTTTAAATTGTAATTACAGCAAACACTGAGAACACAAGGCGCTGGTTGAAGATAACCTGAATTATACTTTTTATATCTTACTATGAACAAAATGTTCCAGCTATTTTCACTATCTACTAATAAAGACAAGTTGCCTTTAACTGGCTTCAGGACAAAAAGTATTTTTAAATTAAAAAAAAACTTTATTTGTTTCAACAGTAAATGTTATTCCAGGTCAAAGTGAGTAATGTCTGGAAATAAGCAGATTGGGCTATTCCTTTTCATGTTTGGTGTATTATTGCCTCTTGGCCTAACAGCTGGATGGCTCAACACATATGAGCTGCTAAAAGGACTCACTCAAAGGGTAAAATGTGAGATTCAAAGGGCAACATCCATGTTTCTGCACCAAGTCTCAAAATCCCAATTTCCAGTTCTGACCCTGGTAAAAATATTAGAAAAAAAAAAACTTTTAAAGAGCCTGTATTTGTCAAACTGTTGACAGATGACTTATACACTGGTACTGCAATATACAGTATCTCTGTGCCATTTTACCTGTATTCAAACCAAAACCCTCTCTAAGAACAGAAATCGCTGTACAGGTTATAAAGCCCAGGAGACAAATTTGTGATATTGGTCTATATAAGTAAAACTGACGTGACTTGATTTAGTCTGACAGTGAACTATTATTTAGTAGTTTGAAAGCAGGCTTGATGAGGCCCCGAGCATGAAACCCAGAGATAAAGTCAGGAATAACACAGTGGAGTGTGTGGAGCACATCAGGGTGCTGGGAAGCAGCGGCTCCAATCACCACCTCTGCTCCTGGCTCAGTTTCCCTGGCTGACGTCAGCTGACTGCCGTGGCTCTCCGCTCTCCGCTCCTCCGGACACAGCGCCGCGTAAAAATGCTGCTCTCTGCGCCGCCAAGGACAGGAATCAACGCATATAACGGCTACACCGGCAAAAACAACAAGAAGGTAAATAACAACACCACAGCGCACTTCTGTCCTCTCTTACCAAAACTCAGTAATAACTCGATGCGGTGCTCGAGCTCCTAGTTAGAACCTGCTCGGTTGTTTTAGCTGCAATGTCCTTGAAAGTGGCTCACATGCGACGCTTAAACTCTCTTACTTGCTGTTGCAACCTTTGCTGTTTTTTCTTTTGGATGTTGTTGTTGTTACACTGTTACAACTAACACGGGGCCCGTTACATTGTTGCCTGTAGATTTCTACTACGGTTCGCCTTCATTTGTTCCGATACGGTCGCTGTTCTCTTCCTGAACATAGCCCAGTGAGTGCAGTTTACAGATTGGCCGTAGATGCCCATAAGGTTCCCAACAAGCTTATAAAAGGTAATTATATTTGAGTTTTACATGAATACGTGGATATTCAATCAGGCACGTCCTCGTTTAGGTATTGTTTCCACTGAATTATCCACAAGTTAGCAAAGTTTTCCCCCTTTTTTGGCCCATTTACGCGCACGGTTATGCCCCACCTCTTCAGTCCTACTAATGATGAGAGGGGTTTGCATGGCACCAAAGAGGAAACTAACAGAGCCCATGTAATAACACAGTAGCTAAAATAGCTCTAAGATATATGTCCAAATTGAATATGGAGGTCAACTGTAGAGCAAATGATATATAAAGGTCTAAATCTGATTAGCTTGTGTTCTAAAGCCTGTGGCACAGTTATGTATTTTCAGACACCGTTTCTGTACAAATCATTAGATTTGGTGGGATAGAGATCCTAATTTTAAAGCTTTACAAATGTGTTTATCAAGATTATATCTCATAATGTTGCTGCTAAAGTGTGACTGAAATGGTATATGACTCTGCATTTCTTAAATAATGTTTCAGTAAAGCTGAAATCAAACACCTCCCAGTATTATTCCTCTCCCTGCCTCATGGCTTTCAGGAATTCAGATTGCTCAGATTAACGACCTGGAATTCTTGGAATCCCGGACTGAGACAATGTGTTTATTTCAAGAGGGCTTTGCAAAGGCAAACCTTTTCCTTGAAAGAACACATGCGTGCACTTTTTTGTCACACATTTGTCATTGTTTGAGCGCCAAAGTCACACAGAGAGTAAGACTTGTAAATCCAGTGTCAAGTTGTAACCCCTGGCCTGAGTCTTTTACTACGAGAAAAAGGGCGGGGAAAAGAAAGGGATTAAGAGACCCCCACCCCTCCTTTACCTCTGCTTTCAATTAACTCCCTCGTCTTTTTTCCCTCTCCCCTGTGTGCTCCACATACCTTGATTTCCACTGTCAGTTCGCATGGAGAAGAGAGGCTGAACATTGCTCCTAACCGATGAATCCCTTGTCCAGACAATTTACCTTTGGCCCTCTCTTCAGTGTACTTCATGCCTATTGAAAGCAGACTTTTTAAAGACATGTTAAGATTTTTCAGGTGTTTTTAAGGAAACTGGATTAAGTCAGGAAAAGGAGCGCCAGGAGAAGTCTCACCTCTTAGACACAGAACACCAAGGATTTTCACCACTTTTCTTTGGTTCTTTCCACCTGGCACTGTTGTTCCTGCTTTCTTTTTTGCCTGCAGCTGCAGAAATACCATAAAGAGAGTGTCTGAAACGCAATGATCTTTTCCACTGTGCCATTAAAAGTTTCTTTAACCAGGGAGGTAGGACTCTGTTTCCCTCTCAATCATAATACAGTTTGTCATGTAATCATAAACATATAGTTGTTACACAGCATAAACAAGCACGACTGTTTTGACAATCTAGAGATGATGATTTTGGCTGTTTAATTATGCATTATTGAAAAACTACTATATGATAATGGAATATACAATTATGTTGACAATGATAAGCAAAACATTTTATTTTGGGATTCATTTAAATAATTCATGTTTGAAACTTATAGTTTCAACTAAATGCTTATCTTGGGATAAAGATAATAAAATCAAAACACTAAATGGAGTGAAGACTGGGGAGAAGAATTTTTTGTAAGATTGCTTTAACATCCTCATCAGCTGTAGCATTAATGTGCGAGATAGGCTCCTACCGTTACTGCAGAGTTAAAGGCATACATCCTGCATCACTTACCACTCATTGTACTCTCTCAGATGAAGAAGCCCTTGAGTCACCTGCACTCCCTACAGGCATCACCTCTGCTCCTTCCCACTGTAATCATCTCATCAGTCTTCAGCTGCTCCCTCTCTCTGCACCATGCTCTAGGCCACTTACTGTAGTTATGCATCTTGCTTGTCTATAATAATAGCACAAAGTGCTTATTTATCTTGCTACACTGATAATTGCATACTCTGATAGTAGCAGGGATGTGAAGACTGTATACATTTCCAGGTTCTCTGTGCAGTGGCTGGAAATAACTGAACATCAATTGTTCAAAAGCATATAGGGTAAACAGGTTAATATATATATTATAAATAGAAACACATGTTTTTAATTCAATGTTTATATTTTTTTGAAATTGTAAATGAGTGAATCTTTTATGGGCACGCAGGAGGATTTCCTGTACTTCTCAGGGTTGATCTTGTCTTGTCAACAAGCCCAGTTCCCACAGAACTGTGTTGCCACTGGGAATGTAGCTGAGCTAGCTTGAACTCTAATCTACCCAACCACTGTCCACCTCACAAAGAGAAACACAAACATTTGTGTATTGCAGAGGAATGTAAAGAATGCTCACAGGTGTAAGGAGCAGTGTAAACAGATATGCAGACAGCTGTGGATTGAAGAGTTAGAAGCAGGAAGGAAATCATTTAACATGCCAGGAGGTCAGGTTTTTGGGCACTTAGTAGCTACATGCAGGATGTAAAATAAGAGTTGTGTTCGTTGTGTTAAGAACATCATCACGCTCTCCAACCTTACCTTCTACTTGTGTTTTTCTACATATACTGTATGTTTGCTTGTGCTTGCACCAGCACAGCAGGCATTACCTTACATGGATAGCAAAACATCTGGAGCTGAGGCTGGGTGGTCAGATGGGGTGTAGGTATGGAGCTGACTCACATCCATCCTTTTCTCAGAGGGAGCCTAGCAGGCTTAATGACACACTACCTTCTGACTAGAGGGCACATGAGACGGATTAACACTTTCCACTAACAAACTCAGATCCCAATTAGACAGACCTCACAAGCCAGACCTGGGCCCGGACTTAGTCTCCTGTCAGATCATATCTCCCCAGGCCTTTGCAGGTGCATCCTTCCTGATAGCCTGCACAGGCCACCTAGAGTGACGGCAAGGGAAAGCACAGAAAGAGGTTGAGATTATGGTAAAACAAACAATGTCCTATTTATAGTCTGTCCTATTGATACTTAAGAAGAGATGGAGATTAACGCACCAAGATGAATGAATGGGTCCTGTGAGTCACTCAGCTTGACAAAAAAAAAACAAAAACAGTGAGTGTTGAAGGCTGATTCCAAAACAGTTTGTAAAACAAGCCTGCCGGATAGTGGTGATACAGGCAAGCATGCAAAAGAATCACTGCTGTTGGTACTCATGTCAAGAGTGTCTGCAATCATCTTTCTACAGTATGTGCAAAAGTTGCACACACTAGTTAATATGCTTTCAAAAACAATGCCACGATTTACTTTTTAAAACCAATTCACTTAATACAAAGCATAGTCAACAGAAAAACACTAGTCAATATTTTATGTGACCACCTTGACAAGCTTCCTCTGTGGATTTAGGCTGCCTCGGTTGCATCTGCCTCTTCATGTGAACACAGACTGACTCCCTGATGTTGAGATCAGGCTCCTGTGGAGCCCAGACCATTTGTTGCAGGACTCTTTGCTGTTGTCACTGAAGACAGTTCATTAAGACTTTGGCTGTATGTTTGTGGTCGTTGCCATGTGCTGCAAAAACGAGTCTGGGGCCCATCAGATGCCTACCTGGTGGTGTGTAAGGGATAATCTAATCATATAAAGTGTTTAAAAAAGTAAAAAGATTCCTTATTAACTGCCTTAGATGTGGAAACATTTTATACTGGTAAACGGTTACGTCTAACCTCGCTGTAACTGTAATGTTGTGGATAACAAGCTAATATGTAGGCTACATCTAACGTTAAAAAACAACTGCTAACACTAACTATCTTCACGACAGGAAGACATCCGTTGACTGAAGGGACCAATAAAAGTACGATTATTTAGAGCTCTGTTAACTGATTGGATGAGGCTCTTTGGAGCGCATACGATTGGTTGATTTTTCCCAGGGTCTTATTGGACAGTGTTGAGCATTTTTCAGAGACTGAAATCTCACTGTTTAGTTTTTATATCAAAGCAAAAATTGCAAGTATAAAACAAATGCTCAAATTTTAGTTTTCATTTTGTGACCCGTGATGTTCCCTAACAGTTTTGTGTTTCTGGAATCTGAATTAAACTTGTACTAGTTGGTTTGATCAAATCCACAGCAGAGAGACATAGAAAGAGGCCATAATTAGCCTGATTCCAGCAGTCTTTTGACAACCCCCTTTCTTTTAATAATCTGGTGGCCCAGTGGTGACCCCGTGGTGTCCAACAAGCCGTCCTATTGTTCCCTGGGGCTGCGCCTGCTGACCCTAACTAATCAAATGCTTCCTCCTCCAGCAAAACGAGCAAGAGAACACCAAGGCCAAATTTAGCTGATATTTTATTTTCTTACGGATTCTGCTTATTTTGTTGGAAACCATGGTGCATAGTGCATAGTAAATTTTGTTGCTGAAGAGAGCTCTTTATGACTCTGGCTGAATGTTTTGGTTGTTGTCATGTGATTACAGATATGAGCACATATTTTACCGATGAACCGCCGTGAGTAAAGCATCTGTACAGTGCTCCTTTCATAGTTACATATATGAGCAGTGTGCAGAGGCAGCTGAACAACCTGATCATGAAATCAGTTCAGCAGATTTATGTAGAAGCACAGACCCAGAGAATGTAATTGTTTACATTGTTGATATATACACAGTCTGAGAGACTATGGCAAAAAACCTAGTTTTATCTAGTTGTGCAAATAGTTTAAGATTTCTGCCAACACCTCAAGACAATACTAAAAATTTTATTTGAAATAGCCAAAATAAATGTCTCTTTACAGAAACAATGTTGTGGTTACTGTTGATAGTCCAGAGATTCCCCTGTGGACATTCTTGACTTAGACTTTTTCAAACAGTTCAAATGAAAACTATTCACCACAAAAATCTGTTCAGCTTCAATCCACAGCATAAAAGCCTCTCTAGCAGCAGAAGGGAATGAAGCCAGATTTAATATTACACTGTCCATTTTTGCATTTGTAAAGAGGCCCGGTTTTCACATATTCTATACATTTTTACAGTTACCTTTTGTGCCACAAGTATTGTTAAATATATATCAATGAAGGTAAGGTCTTAACATTTACAGCCAGCCACTGTGTATTCTGTGTTGTGTAGACAACCTACAATAGACCTCTGTGTGAATCAGTACTTTGTGCGTCTGATGTACATACACAGCAGTTAAACAGTGATTTTGAATCTCAGCCTTCACAAATGCAAGTTAAATGCATTTATAAGGAACAATGTTTTACTACATAGGGTAAAGTCAGTATCATTGTAAAACAGTTTAAAATTTCTTGCAAACAAATTATTATTCCTTGAAATATCAGCCCAGAAGCCAACAAGTCTGACATAAAGTTTATTATTATCTTAGTGAATAAGTTAATAACTAGTCTGTTAACATATTTATGCTCTTTTTGGTATGATTCAACTGACATAGAAAAATGACATCATTATAAATACCAATACCAATCAATATTCAGTCTTACACCAGTAACTACTGGATCATCACTGTTCAAAAACAATCCCAGTTTTCATTTATTTTTGCACAAATGAATAGTCAACATTGATTTGTACAGCCACTGTTCATTTGTCACCCAGTCAAGCAGGATATATTGGAGAGACTGGACAGACTAAATTACTGCTGGTCCTTGTTGAGAGGCTGAAAGCAAAATATTTGATGAATCTGTGTAACCTGCTTGTTATAGAGCTTGGTTTGGCTTGAATGTTTTGTAAGACTTTGTCTAAAAAGTAAAGCCTTGTGATCTTATTTTGACCTTTTAATGAATATTTACACATTCAACACACATAATATAGCCTTGCATAGTGTTCTTCATGTTTTCATTTGGATAAATTTGTATAAATTACACAGCATTAATTTATTCATACATTTTTCATTTACATTTACAATATGCTGCTGTTATCTTCCACCTCATTTCACCTGACACGTCAAGTTCGACGAAGCAGCTAAATTGCTATTGATATCCTGGCTCTGATAACGTGGCCCCATTTGGATACATTTGACACAGTATCATCAGGTTAAACCAGCCGCTATTCTGGCTAATTTGTGTCTGTAATTTACTTTCTCCTGATGTAGTTTGAACAAGCTGGTGAGGAAAGCTGGCTCTGTAGTGGGTACATCCATAGTGGAGAAGAGGACCCTCAGTAAGCTGCTGTCCATCCTGGACAGCACAGCACCATCAAAAGGCAGAGGAGTTCATTCAGCAGTAGGCTGTTGTTTCTCTCCTGCTCAACGGACAGACTGAAAAAGTCATTTGTCCTTCAGACCATACAACTCTTGTGATCTGGACTTTTAGACATGGAAATGCGACGTCACTACTCAGCTCCATAATATTATAATCCCATTTCACTATGACACTGCGCACTGTTTCCTTTTGTTTTTACTGTCTATCTATCTATCTATCTATCTATCTATCTATCTATCTATCTATCAAGTCAGTTAGTGGCCCATTAACTTGCTTTGCATCCAGTCACTTACCACATCAGTGTACGGTCTTACCATCTCAAATCTGACTATGCCCTCTATTTGTTCTACAGCAGACGTATGTGTCCTCCTCCAACCATCAGATGACTCCCTCAAGCCCCAACAACAACAACAACAGCAACACCACCACCATCAGCAATGGCGGCAGCAGCAGTAGCAGTGGGGGGGAGCAGCTGAGCAAAACAAACCTGTACATTCGTGGCCTCCACCCAGGAACCACAGACCAGGATCTGGTCCAACTCTGTCAACCGTAAGTCGCCCAAATCCAACTTCAAATTCAGTGTCTGTTTGCACAGACAACTCCTGCTCTGGCTGCCCACTGCCAGCATGAACCAGGTTAGAGGAGCAGAGTTGATTAAAGCATAACAGAGCGATGACTGAACTGATAGCCTAGATAGGTGCTGGCTGAAAGGCTGAATGGAGAACATGACTACATGGACAAATACAGTGGATGGATGACTTCCTTTCACTTGAAATTCACATCAGTGCTAAACCACACCTTAGCATGGATTTGGAATGGGGGAGAGGGTCACATTTTCATCCACCGTTTTTAAGGCCCATCATTTAGCGGACTTATGGAAAAAGCAACACTCATTTGGACTGTGAACTAAGACCTTTCAGTTTGGCACAGCTAAACACAGACTTTCCAACAACTAGGTACATAATGTTTAGTCTCCATCTCTCACACTAATTCTTTCTGCACGTCTCCTCTTGCTCCTTCTATTATTTTTAACCTATATATATTATGGCTCCTCTGTGTTTTAGTCTGCCAGAAGACAGCAAGATGACAATGAGACTATGCTATCCTAATTCATGGTTGTATCCTGCATGCAGCGTAAAAACAACACTATTTATGTTGCTCGTCAGCGTGAGTGTGAGTCTCTTAAAACTCTGTTGTGGGCAGCCAGCATGCAGTCATTCATCAAACAACAGCATCACCCAATCCATCTGATGTGTTTGTTAGGTCTTCAGTGAAAGACATCAAAACAAGTAGGGCTGAGATGAATGATCTGGGTTCACTTAATTGAATTCTGAGCCTAGTGATGAGAACCAGAAGAGCAGAGGAGAAGCGCGAGAGAAAAGGAGGGAGAGGAGATAGAGAGATTGAATAAGGGAGAGAGGGAGGGAGAGGCCTGCTATTTTACAGCTGTATGGAAGATATGGCTCACATGAGGCTGCCCAACCCTACAGGAAACGGCGAGCCCAGGGGAAAGGGAAAGACAAACAAGGGCAATAGCATGGAGTTGGGGGAGGTGAAGGGGGAGGGTAGAGAGAATCAGAGGGGGAGGAGTGAAAGGAGTTCGCGGTTTGTGTATCAGGTGGTGTTGTGTGGAGTTCTGCGTCGCCAGCCACCACAGTCGTCTCTCTGGGTGCCTCGCTGCCCCTCTGGTTCCTGCCCTGCTCAGTCTATGGTGGCCGAGCTCGAACGGACATTCGGCTGTTCCCTGTATGCCATGTTCCCTGTATGCCATGTTCCCTGCCATGTTCCCTTGTTCCCTGTATGCCATGTTCCCTCACACATGGCTGCATCATTGTAGTCCGAGAGCGTAAGTCAGTAAATGAGCATCTCGACCGTGTAAGCATGGGAGTCCAGGAAGCATAGCTAACAGCTTAAAATCATGATGTGAAGCAGTGGACTGGTTGGATCGCTGTGTGATTAGAACATATTACAACGTCTATGTGGTATCCTGAACACCAACTAATAAATAATATAAAGAGAATTTTTAACACATGTTGAAGTATTTAAACAAAAGGCATGATAATCACATATAAAACCTAAAAATGAATGTAAAAATCCGACTGTAGAAAGCCTTTGAGTAAGTGAGTTGTAAGTGTTTGTAGGCTTTAGGGGGTTGATATTATCAAACAAAAGGAGGAAGTGAGTTCTATATTGCAGACTTTAGAAGATGGTAAACAGTATTTTAGAATTAAACCAATGATTGTTTGGTCTCTATGCAGCGCTTTATCTTGAGTTTGGATAGGCCACATTTAAGCAAAATGTGAACACATTGTGTAGTCAGTACTACAATTATAATTATATAATTATATTCCAAGCATAGTGGTGCAATTTACTGTTGTAGTATCCAAATCAATAATTTAGAATTCTTGGATATTCACATGGAAAGAATCATTTTAACATGTGACTTCAATGCATCTCAGTAAAAGACTACAGATTTACTGCACAGTCTCTTTTTTATCTTAAAGCCACTTAAAAGAATCAATTGAATTTCCAGTTTGGAGTAACTGATTAAACAGATTAACTGTGAGATTACAATTATAGCAGGTCATTGTGGAATCCTTATTAAATAAAATGCATTTTGAAAATGATTCCAGCCCAGACAAAATATGGCAGTGGTGCAGTGTCACTGGATGAAGGCTGGGCTGCATGTGAGGGGCACTAAGACCCAGTGTGGGGTTTAATGCTGCCTGGTTAGAAGAATGAGAGTATGGCTGGGATCCAGTATCGGACAAGACAGCCAAGGAGTGGCGTATCAGATTACACTGCATGCACATGCCTGGAGAGATGGGAACAGATAGACACTCTGCTGCACAGGAGCCTGGGCCAAGTCAAACGCTGCGTTATGAGTCTGCAGTATCTGACCAGTTGGGCAGATAGTGCAGGATTTTCATATGTATAGTTCATTGTAAAGCAATCTGAAAATGTGGCAGAGACATTTATTTTTGCCATATTGTCACATCATGTTGGACTCTCCTTGAGGTATGTTGCTTATTGACAACTGTGTGTGTGACTGGGTACGATATAGAAAATCTATAGTTCTTTCCAGAACCCCATGAGACATTACTCTTATTTTGTTTAATTTATGTCCCCCATATGTCCCCATCCACCACCTCCATCCCCTGTAAAGACTTTCCCATTTTTCATCAGATGGTGCACTTCTATTCACTGCCATTAAACTGAATTATAAGTCAGTCCTAATGGAGCATGGTCTCACAGGGTGTTCATGAAATCAGGTTGCCTCAGCAATGTTGCAGTGGTTGTATTGAATGTAAATAAGTAAATATTTTCCTTAGACCATACAAGGATGATCCTTGAGTGAATCCTTGCTGTTTTTCAGGTATGGGAAAATCGTATCCACCAAGGCCATCCTGGACAAGACTACCAACAAATGCAAAGGTGAGCTGTACAGTGAGCTCAAAAGTTTATCAAAATGTGATTTATATGTTGAATTTCAACAGGAGCTTTAATGGGGAAAATACGAATTATATGAAAACCAAAACTACTGACAGGCTGTTGCAGCTTAAGATTATCACATCATTAGTAACGGTATTAATAACACCAGAATTCCCATTGTCCCAGGAAAAAAAAGGCTTTGCTCAACCTCAATGACAACTATAATGACAAATGTCAGAATTTAAGCATTATCAATAATGGGGAGAAGTACTTGCCAAAGTATTGTTTAAATTGTATTTAGTATTTGATTACCCAAAGTTATTAAATGCTTAAAGAAGATTCTACCTTTGTTTATATTGTTCCTGTTTCCTGTTGTTCTGTTATGATTGTGTTGTACATTTTGTTTGTATTCCATACCACACAACAATGCTCTCGAATCAATAAATCTGAAACTGAACATTTGAAATCCATAATATTTGAATGGTACTATTATTTTTACACTACTATATTCCACTCTGTTCTGTACTGTGAGATTGCGCCTGTCCAGTTCCCAGAGGCGTTGCTCTCTGACCTCATGCCTTCAGTAGATGATGCACTCACTAACACCATATCCAGTCAGTTGAAACTTTTACTACATTTCAACAACATACAGGTGAAATAATATCACAAGCATGATAGTTTGTCATCTCTACGGTAATTTATGTAAAAGTTAGATTGTAGTTATGAGGTTACAGCATATTATTGATACCCTCTTCAAAGTAAAAGTCTATGTTTTTGTTAGCCAAGTTTTAAGTGTGTATTAAGCGTCATATTATTCCTACTTAACAGACATGTATTGTGTGACATAATAGGGGCCGCGTTGTGTAACTCTACATCTGTCCTTCATGGGGAAGCACAGACCAAACACAGCTCTTCAGATTCAAACACTATGAGTGCTTCATAGGTTTTGATTACACCTCTGTGTCTGTAGATTTCCTGCCGTGTTCATAGCTTGTTATCATAACCTGTATGCCTTGCTGTATGTCTTGGTCCCTGCAGGCTATGGCTTTGTTGACTTTGACAGTCCAGCCTCGGCTCAGAAGGCAGTGACAGCGCTGAAGGCGGGCGGAGTGCAGGCTCAGATGGCCAAGGTAAGAATCCCACTTGAGGCAACATGATGTCAGCTTAATTAATTGATTGTTGGTCAGAGTTAAATTCTCAGAACACGAAAAGCCTTTCAGGTGTTTTGACAGGGACTGAGGGTTGGAGGAATTATTAATTAGAAATTAAATGATGGGTCATTAACCTCACAGCAGGAAGGTTGTTCAGCTTCTTATAAATGTGTTTTCAAACTGTCTCAAGCTCTTTCTCTGTATGTCTTGTCTTTCGATTCATGGTATATAAATAGAGGTCAATTAAGTCTCAGTTTGTGTGTTTGTGCTGGGTGGTGCACTGCATGTGTATATAGGTGTATGCTTAAGCCAGTGTATTTATGGGTAGTAATGGAGTGTAGAATTCAGTATGTGTGCGCACAAACAAGATTACATAGATGCACATGGGTATAATGTATACGTGTGTGCATGAAGTGCATGTACTGTACGTGTTGTGCTTCATGCTAGTGACAAAGTTGGGGGAGTGTGTCCCAGGGCCTGCTTTCTCTGAGCTCCCTGCACAAAGGACCTGTCTGTTCTCCCTGGTGGCATCTGACTCAGTGTCTGAGCAGCTCCCCAGTCAGCAAAGGCCCTGTGCCCAGCCGCCCGCCCTGTCATCAAACACACACGCGCACACACACACAGAGCACACATGCACCTCACCAGCCTTGCTTCAGGCGGATTATGGCACACACTAACAAAGCATGCACACCAGCAACACCCTGGGAAAGATGATCTCTCGTTAAGCTAGATCACTGACATTCATACTGCTTCTTGCTCGTTGAATAACTTTATTTCACTCACCCCTTCACTCTGGATTCACAGCGGGGCTTATGTTTGCGCCAGCTTTGTCCCTGGCTCAGTCTGACTCATTTGCGATTGAAATCCGCAGCAGGTCTTCTCTGCTCGTCCTCATGGGTTCTAGCTTCATCACTAGTTTGCACTGCTGTGAAGGAGGAAGAGGAGGAGGGAGATGAAGGAGGAATCACCTTCACCACAGGTCACAGCGATTACACATGCATTATTCATAGGGTGGAAATTAAATCACACCGCGTTTACAGCTTTTTAATCACATCTGCACTTTGAGATAATGAATATGCATAATGCTTAGAGGGTAATGCAGATTGGTTATCTTGCAAGATACCGTTGGTCACCATAAATTTGTTTGAGCAGGAGGCAAAGAAAAGAAAAAAGCCAACAAAATAGTTCTGAAGCATAAACTGAAACAGTGGCACTTTAAGAGACTTTCAGGCTGCTTTCTAGTCATTTCACATTCAGATTTAGAAAAGCTAAATAATTTGTCTGATCTATGCAAACTGACAGAGCCCCCCTCTGTGCCTGCAGTCAAGGTCAGGATTGGCACATGAATATAACCGGTTGAATACAAGTGACATATTATTACCATGACCTAGGAAACAGGATGATAATGTTTTCCTTGTGGGAAGATGATAACACAATGCTCTAGATGTTCCTCAGATGATTTCCAAAGGTCTTTGTCCAAAACATCTCGGCTGTGTTTCTACACCGAGCGAGAGCACATACTCATTTTAGATCATCCAAGGATGGAGAGCCTTTTGAAATCTAATTATGCTTTGATATCACATTACCTGAATCATGCCAGTTCATCCTCTTAACAGGCTAGTCTCACACAATGGGCCTGTCTTTAACCCTTTCAGTAACAACGTGAGCAATAGAGTACGAGAGAAGCGTATGAAGTTGGATGAATAAAAGTAGAAGAGAGAGACATAGAGAAAGCTGAAATGAAAGTTCAGCTGAAGTTCACTCAGAGTATTATCCCCACCATCTCTGAATATCTTAATAGTCCTAAGACCTCATTCATGCAGCTCATTTTCTTCCACAAGGACAAAATGAAATCAACCTTAAATTGTCCTCTACCTGCCACCTTCCAAAAATCAGACATCTCATACACTTCCTGTTAAAAGGTAACATAAACCCCTTGTTCTACTACTAACAGCTTTTGCATGGCTCTGGATTTAGGAGGGCTCCTGTCATCTGCTGTGATTCTGTCACAGAAACACTGAAGAGCTCTCTCTGGTCCGCATCCTATATTCCCTAATCCTCTTTTTGCTTCTCTGCATTTAGCAACAGGAGCAGGACCCCACCAACTTATACATCTCCAACCTGCCACTGTCCATGGACGAGCAGGAGCTGGAGAACATGCTGAAGCCCTTCAGCCAGGCCATTTCCACACGCATCCTCCGTGATGCTAATGGAATCAGCCGAGGAGTGGGCTTTGCCAGGTATGAGCTTTGGTATTAGGACAGCTGCTTTAAGTTGATTAGTGATGATGTAGCCTTGTGTGCTTTGAAGAAAATATCAGCTTTGTTTTAGTATTAATCATGATGAGTGAGCCCTCTAGTGGCAGAAAATCTCCAAATGGAAACATTAACACAGCATGATACCTGCTGCTGTTCAACACAATGATCGCTTTTAATAAACATAAGATTTCCTTCTTCTATAGGATGGAGTCAACAGAGAAATGTGAAGCCATCATCCAACATTTCAATGGAAAATATATAAAGACTCCACCTGGAGTTCCAGGTGAGTTGTCTTTCTTTTTTCTTTTTCTTTTTTTGAGCTGGCATCTTGTTTGTATATCTTTTAAAGAACTTACAAAGCATAAAGAGGAAATCATCTAACCCAACATGATAATGTTTCATTTGAAAATTCCTGGCCCAGTACCATCAGAACCCTTATTGTGTAAATTTGCTGATGGAGGCCAGAAGAAGCGTCAGAGCCAAGGAAAATATCTGCAGAATGGCCGGGCCTGGACGAGAGACGGGGAGACTGTGAGTTTCTCCCTACCTGCTTTTCTTATGATGTAACATGGCTTGAGGCTAGAAACATAAAACATTCTCCGGCCTTATCATGACACATCTGTCTTTTTCCCCCAGGGAGGAATGACACTTACCTATGACCCCACCACAGCCTTACAGAACGGGTCAGTACTGCTACTCTGACATAGCCCTTGTACAGAGAGAATGTGATCATGTTGTGGTGACTAATGACTTTGTGTTTCTTTTTGCAGGTTCTACTCCTCTCCCTACAGCATTGCCCCAAATCGGATGATTGGGCCAACTTCCCTCTCCCCATACATGCACTCACCTTTGTCTACCTACCAGGTATTAGTTTCAGACCATAAATCTGGGGTGTTGGCTTACTAGATCCTCTTTTGTCAACACTCTCACTGTATGATACCAATTGTTAAAAATGATCTTGAACAAAGGAAAACTTATCAGGGGTTGTTTTTTATCTTCTTAATTGGCTGGAGCTGTTTATATAATGCAATCTTATCCTGGTACACTTGTGTCTTTGTTCCTACAGGTACACAACCCATCCTGGATACACCACCAGTCATACATCATGCCGCCCACAGTGAGTATCTGCCTTCCATCATGTTTTTGTTGCATTTGAAACCTTTTAATCTTCTGTTGTCTTATATACATGTATGAATCTCTGTCTTAACCCTGTTAGACTGCCATCAGTGCTCTGACAGACTATTTAACAGCCTCTTCATCTTAATGGCAAACACCAACATCACTGTGGTTTTTCACAGGGAGCAGTCCTGACACCAGGAATGGATCACACCATGTCCATCCAGCCGACCTCAATGATAGGGCCCCTGGTGCAGCAGCTCAGCCACCTATCCTTGGGTAGCAGCGGCACAGTACGTAGACTGCAGAACATCTAGGACCCAGCTGTCATTGATTTTTAACCACTTGACATGCTGGCTGCTCCGAATGACAGCTGAGGGCTACTTTTTTGTGAAAACAAAAGTCATGTAATGATGATGTCAAACAGCACGATAAACTGTCACATCCACCAAACTGGCCAGTCTGAAATTGTGTTATACAAGATGATATGAAAGGAACAAGAAGAGAAAGTATCTCAGCTTCTCCTGAGTGTTCATTTAGCATTTGCCAAATTCTACAGCACAGATGGGGCAGGGTGTTTTTCTTTAAATCTAATTTAGGCTGATAAAAGTTGTAATTTAATACTTAAATATTGTCTAGTGTAGCTTTACTTGACAGTGTTATTGCTGTCATGTCTAATAAACATATAATTTCCATTCTCCTCCAGTATATGCCTGCAAATGCATCTATGCAGGGGACCTACATCCCTCAGTACACCCAAGTGCCTGCCACCAATATCTCTGTTGAGGTAATGACCTTTGTTTTCTCTCATTTGAACAGTGTAACAATAAAATATTATGTGAAACAGTCACTCATGGATTTCATCTTCGATGCCGCCTTCTCAGGAAAGTGCCGTCCAGCAACCTGTTGCCATAGAGACACCCACAGAACACACATCCTACTCTTACCAGCATAACAAATGAAGAGGTGTCAGAGGTGGGTGATCACTGTTAGCGTTTGTGTCTGTGTTTGCTTCTGTGCATTTCTGTCGGTGCATGCACGTAATCCAAAAACATATTTCTCTTGCAATGTTGCAACTGCAAAAGGAGATGGTGCAGTAGCAACTGCAACAGCAGCAGCTCTTGTTTCTAATTGGCTGGTCTTGTCACTCTGTATAAGAACTTCCTCTGGATCCGGAGTGACTCTCAAGGGGCCCGGGTGCTGAAACTAGGCACAGTGACTCTGCACGTAAAGAACCACAAACTCTGGGGGAACATGGACTGTTACACAGAAAGGACCAAAAACATTTCTACAAACTCATATTTTAAAACAAACTCTTTTACTCCAAACAAAGCAAGGTGGGAGGATGGCTGGCAACGGGAATGGAAGGAGCGTCTATTTTGATAACATTCAAGAAAAAAGTCACACACACACACAGTCAACACACACTACATCTTTAAAAGCTTTTTTAAATGATATACTTTTTTTAATAATACTATTCTGAGGAGCAAGAATGAAAACAAAAGAACATTTCAACAGCATTTTTTGTCATGTTTTATTTGGACCTTTTGTAAAATGTGCTGATTTTACTTTAGTATGTTACTTTCAGGGTTTGAACCTGCCTTTTTGTACATAATTCTGTGTTTTGGTGTGTTGCTAGCTTCATGTGTTCTAGTTTGATTGATAGGTGCAAATATCTGAATACAGGTTAAGGAAAAACCAAACGGAAGTTGTTCAAAAAGCTGATGACACGTTTTCAGCAGATATGGTGCTGCTGCTGGATTAGCTTCTCTTGAAGCAGCAGCAAGTTTATCGGTTATGAAACCTTTACCTGAAGTGGGCTTCACTTCTTTTTGGCACTTGCCTCTCAAATACTGTATAGTTCCAACAATCTCAACAAAGCTTTAGACAATCAGAAGATTATAAAGAATAGGACCACTTTATGACATGATGGTCACTTAAAAGAGCTAAATAGATTTTAACCATTCCAGAGATTATTATCAGAAAGTTTCACTTTGAAATCCAAGGTTGCTTAACAGGGATTACATCTCACACACAGCTGCCTGTAAATAAAAGATTTACACTTATTTGGGCTTTCTTTTGCCGTCCTTTTGTCAGTGCAGTTCGTTTATTAACACCGTTATTACAAATTGTCTGAACATAGCAATTTCTGTGTTGCTGTGGTTTCAGTTTTTTCCTCATATCTTTTTTTTTTTTTACAAACAGGGAAGGTGAATATACACTAAATCCAAGAAATTATGTTCTGAAGCAAGAATTTGATGTGGTTATTAGAGTATGAAGTTCTTTGTACATAGACACAGGGCTCATCTGGTGAAGCTCTGTCCTGTTAGATGTTCAGAAAACACTATCGAGGTGGATCATTGCGGGCCAGCTGCTTTAATACTAGCCACTGCTGTGTGTTTGCATCTACTTCTACTTTTTTGTTTTTCACCCTCGTTTTTGTTTTTACATTTCTTATTTAAAGGTTTTCTTAATTTTTTTTAAATACATTTTGTTGTAATACTTTTGAGATATTTCCTATTTTACAAAGAAGTTTTGATTTTATTTTTGATAGTGTGTTGTGTTCTTCAAATAGAAGTAGATGTTTTTGACTTTTATTTTGAAACAGTGATCTGTTTGTATGTTTGCATACTTCTCTTGTTCTGGTTTCAGTGCTTATGTCAAAGAGGCTTTAACCCTTTTTATACATTTCAGTTGTGTCTGTGTCACCAGTGTTGGCACTTTATGAACGTGACTCCTGATCATAGATGAATTATGTATCCTGGCTTCTGATGCATTGTTACAGAAGCCCAAGCTGCTGGGAACAATGTAACAGAAATATATGTTCAAAACCTTGATTTACCTCATCCTGCCAGAGCAATGTAGATGCAGTTCGTCTACAAGGTTCACAAGCAATAACCAACTACAGTAGGTCTCATGTCTGTTCACAGCTGGTACTGTGTCCACACCCTTTCCTTGCTGTTCCGTCCAAAATTTGGAAAACATGCCCTAGGTCTGACGATCTATGCAGTTAATTTATTATCCTTATAAATGCAATACTACAGATATCCAAGAGACACCTCACATTATGACTTCACACTCTGACTCACATGGCTTTTTTTACTTTTCACTATGAATTAATAGAGATTATTGAGATTGTTTTTTGATTGACACATTCACGTTTGGGTTATTAATTGTTTGTAAACGTGCAGCACTAAAAGGAAATAATTCGTCCCATGATGTGGTTGTTAATATGACTTTAGGAAAAGTAGGAACTCTATAGAAATATATTGCAGGTATGAAGGCAGGTGCTGCCTGCTCATCTGCCCAAATCATATTTTACACATGCATTATAGGTTTGTGTAAAATGTAATTCAGCACTCCATCCATTTGCAATTTCAAATGGTTAAATTATGCATCTAGTCCTGTTTGTTAACTTGCATTCTTGCCATTTTCTTTTAAACCATGATAGTTAATTTCCAGGAAAAGACTTCACAGAAATGCCTTAGATTTCACTGGAACAGATAAAGTGCTACTAAGATTAGGTGGGCTTAGCCTTTGACTGGAATTTTTTTTCATGCACTGCTAATGTTGTAAAGATTGTTATATTAAGCTATTCTGAACATACACATGAATCAAAGAAACATTTACAACTTTTAATTACTATTGTGTTCCACTGTCACTTCATTACTTTTGTCCAACATATTGAGGAAAAACTAAGCAGTGGCTTGCTGAGTCTCAAGAATGATTGCTGCTAATTTTGGAATGCTAAGTATTTAGACAACTTTTAGCTGAAGGTCATTTGATAGATCAAGTCACATTTAAAGTCAGTTAACTCGTTTTCAACAATGTCAATGCAGTCCTTTGATTTTCAAACCTCTCCTTGGTAAATGTTTGTCTGTGCCATTATGTAGGTCCTTTGTCTTCTTCATGGAAAAAAAAAACCCTACAGCTATTAAACTTTTAACTTGGTTTGATGTTGAACTTGCCTTATTTATTTTTAATAAAACTATTTCACTTGTGCTTCTTTAATACTGGGGGCCATTTGCACATTATACCCCGCTCAGGGTTTAAGCGGTAGAAGAGGAATGAATGAATGAATCTTGAAGAAAAAAAAAAACAAAACAGACAATACTCTTCAAGCCAAGACACATCCATACTCACATTTATCAAATATGGCCATTTCTGTATTAAACCCAACTTAGTTTGAAGCAATACATCCACATCTCACAATAAATGAGAATTTATTTCTAAAACAGACCTGTAGTATCTTGATAAAAATAGATGAATGCATTTTTTAAAAAAGCACTGTATATTACACTATTCAAGAAGCTGTATGTTTTAACTATGTACAAAGTTCAAAATATACTGAATATGCCCGTAGCTTGCTGCTGAAAAAGAGACTGAAATACATAAAATAGACTTTGAACTTCAATTTACAATCTTTTATCAAGAATAAGGACTTAGAAGGAAAGGGCAAAACCTTTTAACCCTGCTATTTTAGGGTGCAACTAAGACTATTGTTGTACTCACAACTCGTGACAAGCTAATTCAACATCCTGTTTTCTTTAGAAATCATACTCTGAGACAATGAAGACATCTGTGGGGTGATGTTACTGGAAAACAGCTGAATCACAGAAAGAGATTTTTATACTAGTTGTCACTGAAATTTCAGTTTTGTGGGCATTCATACTTTTATGGTAAGTGCAATTTCCTTTCCATATAAGAATATCAAATACTGACAATGACACTAAAATGTAGCACTACTGATTATAAATATGATGCAGCATAATGCACTCACCTCCTGGTAAGCCACAAACATGTACAGTAAACTGTGTCTGCATCAAACTAAACAGTGAAACTCCAAGTATGATCTGTATGTCAGTATAAATGTGACTTCAAAAATAGGTGTCTGGCTGAGAATACCACACACGCAGTGTTTCAGCTGCTATACTGATGCTCCATGGCTGCACCAAAAAACAAAGTGAAGAACAGGACTGGGAGGCAGTGCTTGGTTGCTCCAGAAACATCCTAGCAGCCAAGATCAGCTGAGGGCTTGCCTGACCCTTGAGGTTGGGGGCTGGTTCCTGATCTGATGAGCTGGTGTACAAGTCTTCCATTGTCAATGGATCCTGCTGTTGAAGGTAGCTCAGCCATAGTCATCATTTGTATTTGTAACACTATGAGCTGACTACACAAGTTCACACTTCCCTTCCTCACATCACAACAGTTTATGGTTCACAATCTCCCAAACCATCCTTCGTCTGAAGTAGGGCATGTGCATCTGTGAATAAGAAAAGAGATGTCATGTCAGCCAGTTACCAGCATGATGATTTACCAAATACTGCAAATCTTTGTTAATGCTGTTCGTAATTACCTGTGTGAATGTGATCGGCTTGTCTTTGGTAATGTAATCTGCATATTTGCATGTGAACATTCCACAGTCGCTACCATTCATCTGCTGTGGGATTTCCTAAGAAAAAAAAAAAAAAAGGAGAAATAAAACCATTAATGAACATTAAAAAGCACAAGTAAACTGCTGTCTGTGTAAAATAACATCACCTGTGACAGTCTGATAGAGCATTTGGTCAACACCAATAATTAACCTAATTTGTTTTGACTGGACTTTCTATCCCATTGTAGCACTACATTTTTCCTAGACAATCCTTCAGCATTAGGAGACATTGCGCTTGACACTGCAAGTGCATAAAATGTGTTCAGACATGTTTTATGACATTTCTGATGTATTCACGTGACCCAGCTCACTGGCTTTGATTGAAAGTGTAAAAATGTCAGTAATACAAAGTGTAAACAGCGTTGCTCTTTTAATGAGAAGCACAAGAATATTAATAGGCCACTATTGTAAAAGCCCTAGTAGTAAGTCCTAAAGCCTGGATGACTAGTTAAATACAACCAGACCATTTCCACCAGTGCATCATTAGAAGCTACAAGATGCATTGCTTTTCAATACTAGCCACTTCTTGGACGTGCCAATGAAATGGCACATGAGTGGGCTGCATGCCAACAGATGACCAATGGGTTTTCCCTTCATACAGTATGTAGTGGTGGACTTTCCCCTTATCACCTGTTTTCTTCAGTTTTCAACATTTTCTTCTCTAAATTCACTCAGTGAAATAACGTCTCCCCTTTGTTTTTCCTTTATTTATTTATTTTTTTACTAGACCTGTGAAAGCTGGCCAAGAACAGAGACACTACTAGCTCCAGGACTGTAACCTGGAACTTTCTGCTGATAAAAGAGACTCATCCAGAATTCCTAAATGCATGAAATTTAGATGTGGTACAAAAATGAAAACAAACTACTTGATGCTCTTGCAACTCATGTGTGTTGGACATACACTGCGCTTTTTGCTGTGCAGAGTCCAGCCTGAGGTATCCAGTTCTTTGCCCTTCTTGTCCCTACTTTCCTGTTGCAAGTAATCACTGGAGAAACAAAAACAAATTACTTTCTATACATGCTAATGACTCAAAGAAATCAATTTGCAGGAGTTAGAGCAAGCACTGCAAATATATATGCCATTCAATAAACAAACATCTCCGATACAGAAACTTACAACAATATTTTGCATGCTTCATCATTGTTTCCTCCCATAGAATCAAAGTACATGAGGGCTTTTTTGCGGAAATCCACCACCTGAGAGAAGAGTTGAACAAGAAAAAAAACTGCTATATAAATTCCAAAACTGTTATTTCACAGTTCACACTTATGGTCATTAAGACTTACAGAGAGGCACCAGTGCACATCCAAGTGGACAGGAACCAACAGGATGTCCTTAGAAAAGATGTCCATCTTTTTGGTCCAGCGGCGGACAGCAGAGTAGCCACTGCTGCGCAGCTTGGGATAGAAAAAGGTGTTGAACGTGTTGACTGATGGCAGGCTGGGGTCCTTGCTGCGCTCAACCAGTAGGTTCATGTAAAAGTTGATCACCTGAGAGATGTAGGAGGAAGGGTTTAATTTAACAGATGAAGAACTACTGCATGGCTCAGTGCAACAAATTCTACATAAACAATATAATCATGGTCATGTGTTTTATTATGTCGTATGAAGAGCGTGTGTCCATCTGGTGCAAAATTAATGCCTGACGATAATTCACATCAGATCATACATTATCTTGAAGATGATGTGCACTCACCTCATCATTGAGCCAGTTAAGGTTGCTCAGAGTCTGCAGGTCTTTGCGTGTAAGGCTGAGACCAAAACCTTCACTTAATACTTCATGAGGACTACCTCCTCTCAACGCCATGTTCACCACAGCTTCCATTTTCTTAACAGAAAGAGACAGCATACATGTGGAAAAAAATTGGAAATATTGCCTGAACCCTTATACTATTTGCCTAAGAATTTGTTCCAAAAATATTACAGCCTGCACAAAAAAGAACAAGCAAGATTTGTAACCCCATGTTATACTGAATTCCTTTTTTCAGTATTTCTGATCAAATTCTTTTGAGCCACAGAATGGGATATTAGAAAAAAAAACTATTGCACTTAATGTCAGCTCAAAGGAATGTACAACAAAAACCCATTGAGATTCTTTGGCCCCAATCCAAGTCCTTTAACAATGGGTATCTCCCGATACTGAGTCCAATCGGACACTTAGGTTTACTTGAATACCGAGATGTATGTATGTATGTATGTATGTGTGGGCCCCTAAACTGGAAGTAGGTAGTGTTTAAACAGAGTTCCATATGCAAGGGATAACACTGTTAAAAAGGATCTTTCACAACCACAATGTCCCAGTCAACTTTAAGCCAGCGGCAGAGAATGGTCAGAACACCCAGACATAAACAGAGGGAACACCCTGTGGCAGAGACTGGAGTGATGTGGTGTATGCCATTAAGTGTAGTCAGGAGTGTAACGACTTGTACATTGGTGAAAATAAGCAGCCACTTCACAAACGCATGGCCCAACACAGGAGGGCCAACTCCACATGAAGGACAAAGGACATTCTTTTGAGGACAGTGAAGTCCAGATCCTCTCCAGAGAACATCGCTGGTTTGAGAGAGGAGTTAAGGAAGCTATTTTTGTAAAAATAGAACACCCCTCACTAAAAAGGGGTGGTGGACAACTTGTCATCCAACTACAACTCTGTTTTGAGATCTCTGCCCAAACATGCCCATGAGGACAATAGGTGTCGGTCCACAGGGGAGGATTCAAAGACAGGTAATGGCTCTCACCGATACTGGGCTATAACGACTCAGTCGCTAGGGGACATTTTTGGCCTTCAAAGGACTGAAACACCACCAAGGGGGATAAATATCCCCGGCTCAACGCCAGTCAGTCAGAACTGACGAAGCCTCTTGGATGAGAGGTGAAACGTCTCTGACCTAGAAATCTAATCCAGTTGATTTTTTTCTAAGTTTTTTTCAGCTTCTAAATAGAACCAACAATTGCGTAGTATAGCACCATCGAGGTAGACCTTTTATTACACTGCACATTCAACTGTATTTCTACTTACTAAAACAATCTTTTAAGTGAGAGTGGATAGGTCATCTAAATAAATCATATATACTAAATAAGGAATAATAATTAAAGATACAACAACCATACCTCTGTGAGTTCAGGAAATTCTGGTTTCTCTTCTAAAGGCTTCGGTTCTTCTATCACTGGAGTCAAAGGAACCTCCCGCTCCAAAGGAACTCGAACATGGACCTCCACATCCAGGCTGCGTTGCCCCTCTTCAGAGAGACGCTGAGAACCAGTAACAATGTGACAAGTTAGTAGGATAACAGGAGTATAAGAACCAATTTATTTGATAAATCTGAATCTGAAAGAGGGTCTGAGTGGTCCACAGTCACCTGTCGCAGCAGCTTGGCAGCTAGGGCCTCCTGCTCTTCTATGTGCCGCCTTCTTTCCCTTGCCCGGGAGTCATACATGCTGGTCCTACAGTAACAAATAATACACTTTCACTTGTGGTTCTATTCAGACATGTCAGTGAATAATGGATCGGTTATATAACTAAATGCACCAACATGCACCAATGTGTACTTACAATTCTTTGATCCATAACTCAGCTTGGAAACATGGCACACTGTGAAGACAGAGCAATGTGTTACTGTGTATACTGAGAAAACACTTTGGTTGTTAAATTTGATTTCAGTTCAACTTATGAATTAAACAGAGCATACAAAGTTTAATATTTAAATGTCAGAGTCTTTACTTATGGTTGTTTGTGTCAGCAGATACAAACCTTGAGCTGCCTTGCTTTTTACCCTTTTGTTCATTTACAATGATTACAGAGTCACCGTCGTAAGCTACAAGAAAAGACAAGGAAATTAGAAACAAGCAAATATTCAACTCACTTAGGATATTCCATTTCACAATAAATGTACATACAAGTATGTTACCTGATGATTGTGTGTCCTGAGAGGAGTTATCCTGCAGAGCAGATGGGGAGGGAACTGATGTGAAACTAACTGTTCTGTTTGAGTTGAGATCCATATCCAGAGACCATGTCTGGATCCCTGGCCTGCTGGAAGCCCTCATTGGGCTGGGAAGGTTGCTGGAACTCTGGCTCGACATGCCCCTTGTGCTGGGGGGGCTGCTGGGACCCTCTGAACTTCCTGCTGCTGCTGACCCAGTAGGGGAGGGGAACTGTCGCAGTCTGCGCGTGGTTGAAAGAAGGCTGCTGCTGATAAAACCATGACAGGGGTAAGCAGACACCATTTAGATACAGTCCAGACACAAATCAAAATGTTTACGGAGAGAAGCACAACTATTAAAATGTATTTATTACTTATCTTTACCAAGATAAATGTATGATGACTTTATGAATGCAATAAAGATGGATACACCCTGGTAGTTGTGTTTGCTTGAATGTTACTTCCAACTACAGAGCATACATGCAACTACAACTGTGTCCGTCAGTGAGTATAGCCAGATTAGGCTCCATAACTTCTTACTTATTAGAAGTTATGCAAGTAACAAATCACTGATACAAACACTACAATTGTGGACTTTCAGGTGAAACAGCTGCATATCTCCTTCACCACATTCTTTACAATGTCCTTAAAATTTACAATGGATATGAATGTGTCTAACTTTAGATCTTTCTGCAAGTTATTCCATGACCAAGGTGCATAACAGGAAAATACAGGTTTCCCCAGAGCTAACACAGAAAAATGTGCAAAGATTAGCTAGATGTTTATCCACTATCACTTTATAGATCACTAGAATTACAGTTTCATGGTTGTATGCCTCCACCAACCAGTTAAATTCACGGGTATGGGACAGAAGTAAGGTCACTGACCTTGACCTAATGGGCATTGGTGCCAAATTTTTAAGAAATGGATACTTACAAATCTCTGTGTGACCTCACAATGGAGTGTGGGCTGCAGTTGTGAAGTAAAGACGACTGACCACCAGAGACCATGGTCAGGAGCTGCCTGTAAATCTCTTTCTCCTCTTCACGAACAGACTAGACGAACACAGAGAAGAACCATGACACATACAAAAATGCAATAACTGAATAAAAAGGAATCACATGGCACCTTATTGCCCTGATATCTGACCTCCTGTACTGTGCAACTGTACTGTGCTCCATGTACACGGCCAGGTGAGGTGCTGTGTGTTGAGCTCTGCGCCGCTTTGATGGGAAAGGTCTTCTCATACATGCTTGTGCAGGAGCTGCTTGCTGTTTTCACATCACTAAATAAATTGCAAACACAAAATGACAGTCTGGTAATTAAAATACACCAGCTGACAGTGCTAAATAAATTGCAAACACAAAATGGTAATTAAAATACACCAGCTGACAGTAATTCATGCTGTATAATCATCAAACCAAAAAGCAACCATCCAAATAGGAAAAACTTTGTTCTAGAGGCCAAAACAAACCAAGATGTACCTTGGTGTTCCACAGGGTCGGAGGTTAAGAGGCCTGCCTAACCGTGGAGGGGGTTGTAATTTAGTGGTGATGGGGGGCAGCAAGTTGACTGAATGGCCATTTGTCTTTGACACCTCACGATGTGTAGGACTCATACACACTTGACGCCTGCAGACTTTTGATCCCATAATGGACTTCTCATTACGCCACCATTCTAGATTTGGAAAAGCACACAGTACAATAATTAACTTCAACAGCTCAAAGCCCACACAAGCCCTACCAGCATTGATGTAAAGGCTTAGACAATGCTTTAGGTGATAATCTTACCTGATTTGGATGTTTTCCACTCCAAAGTTGTAGATGGAGCAGCAAACGTCTCATTCAAAGAGCTCCTTTCAATGATCTTAAACCAAACACATACATGATATGCATAAATAAAAGCAAAAATTGTTTCAACATATTTGCAGTACCGGTCCCAGAAACTAATTCCTCACCGTCGTTGCTGCCCAGGCTGCTGATGATGTTGAGGGCTGTGGCTGGGCTTCTCCAAGTGGAGGACCAGGGGAAGCAGGCAGTATATTTCTCAAGGTAGGGCTTACATTGTTCCTCATCCATGTAGCAACACTGGAGCTATGATTCTTAACACCTTCAGCTGCTATCTTGACTGTGTCTATAAAATCTCCTGGTTAAATTTGAAATTGACAGACAAAACTGTAAGTACAGTAATACTAATTCAACTAGATATATTTAAGGATGCGAGTGATTGTGAAATTACCCATTCGTGACTTCTTTATTATTAAGCCATCCTGGTCGATGTTATGTCCATCTTCCAAACTTAGGGAGAAAAACAGATCAATGCTATACAGTTAGGAACACATCCTACCCATTTAGTAAGATGGGAAATAAAACTTTTCATGACACCAAAACAAATGGTTGAAACACCAAATGACCAGCGAGGTAAAGGTTAGTGGCTCGAAATAAACTGCAACGTTAGTTACACTGACTTACTAAATAACTTAGACCAACTCGGGGGCAGTTTATGTCCGTGTCTTTTTAAACGCTGACATGTGATTACACAAGAGGAAAATGCTGCTACAGCTCATACCATTCATTTGGTCTTTTCCTCTTCATCCGACCATCTCCCAGTGCTCGGTGTCCATCTGAATGCTCCGCAGCGGGTACACCATTGCGAAGATTGGCTAAGCTTTCGATCCATCCATAAATTGTATTCAACATGGCTCAGAACTTTTAGAAACAGTGCCACTTGTTTAAAGATAAATCGCTGGAGCTGCTTTCAGTCCAAGTTACCTGTCAATATAGTCAAACCAATTAAACCTAATGCGACTCATTCGACTGAGGAGGGCTAGCTGAGACTATTTCAAAGGCTAACAGTCCTCACAAATATCATTTTATTCTCAACAGAAACGAGCTAACTAGCTAGTTAGCTAGAAGTCGCTAGTCACCTAGCTAGCACATTATGCTAACTACCTTGCTAGCTATCGCTGTTAGCTACACGGCTAATTTATAGAAGTGTGTTTAAATTCCAACAGGAATGCGTTAAGTCGCAACCAGTGCGTCCGGAAAAACTGTTATCATTTTGAGTCACACCCTAACTAATTTATATATCCTCAATATCACTTTAAATTACATAAAAACTCATTGAAGAACAATATCTCCCGCTTCTTCCTCATTCAAAACCACAACATGGCTGAACAGGACTCTCTACCATCGCGCACTGTGATTGGTTAAATAGATGGTGTAAATTCGAGTGCACCCGAAATTTACTCGCTGTTGCAGACCGATGAACACATTTACTCTGACGTCACACACACCGGTGCCCCATGTACTCTATTATTTCTATCAAAACTTTCTGTCTGTACACATATGTTCACAAAAAAAAAAAAAATTATTTCTATCGTCTATCCAATTTTTATGTCCCGTGTATCTGTAGCATTCACACATAAACATAGCTTCTCGCGGAAGAATAGCCCTTCTTGTCTTAGCGGATTTTTCCTTAATTATAATTTTGAATAAGTAATGGCAGGCATACTTTTAAAAAAAAATAACAAACAGTCTACAGAAACGAAAGGTTCCTCATTCATAATTTTGCACAATATTATTCAAATAGCTTTTGTGTAGGCTAGTTTGGTATTTGTAACAAATTATTTTAGCAACAACGAAAACTAGCGGAAATTCAGGACAGTCTGAAAGATAAAATCAACTGTATGCTCTGCAGGCCACATGCAGCCAAGTGTAAGCTGTCCTGTAGAATTTCTAAAATACAAAACAGATGGTATAAATGCCATCCATGACATGATCTCATATTCATGTCAAATTCAGGTCAATGCCCATAATCTTACATCCACATTAGATTACATTATAGATGATATTATGTTTGCTTTAATTTTCTGGTAAGTAATACACATTTACAGTAAATATTAATTAAAAAAACATAAATTAGATCAGTTATGTTACAGCCTTGTCTGATCCTGCCTTGTACAGTACACACCAAAACAGTAACAATTACTCTTCTTAGTTTCAGAACTTCCCTAGACAGCAGTTTTCTAAATTTTATTTTGCTTTCCCTTTTGTGGCTTCATATATGGATATAAAGAAAAGTGAAGAAATAAAAACATTCAGAAACTGTTGTCCTCAATTTGATTGGAAATCCTTTCCAGTGTTCCCAGTGCTCTCCAGTGTTTTTAGACATCACTAAAGTCATCTTTCCACTGCCACCAGAAACCCTCCCTGTGGATGAATTGGGGTGGGGTGGGGGTGTTCAGTTAAGAAAATAACTGGCATATTAATTAATAATGAACATAATTAGTTGCTGCTCTATAATAGATGACAAGCTTAGGCTCAAACATTTAAACAGAGTAGAAACAACTCAGCTGTTATTGTCCCACAGGGGGCCTTCACCAAAGCAAAGAATAGGCCCAACACCAACAGAGAGAAACCCGAAAAGAGGGGATAACACTGTGTTGGAGACCCAGTTCTTTTCACCACGTTAACTCTGAGAGACGAAGCAGTCCAAGTAACTTCAAAACAGTGCTGATTTATTCAATGAACACAGGTAAAAATTAACATTACATGCTCAGGAGTCTTTGCACCTCCAACATGCACGCAGGCAGCTGAAAGATGAAAAGCCCTGAACCATAACAGGCCTATACATTATATCACTTCGGGCTAACCCCATTCTACACAGAGACGCCAAACCGTGACGTCTCCCAGTGCCAGCTTTGCAGCTGGCCCTAGCAATAGCCAAAGCATGAAGAAAATCAATGTGTGAATGTCCGTTGATTATGTGGTGTGTAGCTAAAAACATTCTAACATGACAGTAACCATAAGAAAATATTGTGACTACGACTGTGGTTAAACACATCATAACAATAAGACTAAACCTTCTGTCTCCTAACAGTAATCAACTTTCTGTCTAATTATCCTTGAACATGAACAACCTGGAGTACCCCATGAGAATGACTAAGCATTTAACAGCCTGAGCTAGACATCCTGTCTACACTAAACATTTCTAACACATAAAATATCTAACCAATATCTATCTAACTAAAAATACCTAACAACTGTTATCCCTTATGTGGCTGAGAAGCTAAAAGGGAATTTTCGCAACCACAATATCTCAGTTAACTTTAAACCAGGGAACACCCTGCGGCAGAGACTGGTCCACCCGAAGGACAAAACACCCAGACACAAACAGTGATTTGGTTTATGCAATTAAGTGTAGTCAGGAGTGTAATGACCTGTACATTGGGGAAACTAAACAGCCGCTGCACAAGCCCAACACAGGAGGGCCAACCCCAGTGGACCAGAGTCAGCAGCCCACCTCCACCTGAAGGACAAAGGACATTCTTTTGAAGACAGTGAAGCCCAGATCCTCTCCAGAGAACATCGTTGGTTTGAGGGAGGAGTCAAACAACCAATTTTTGTCCAACACCCCTCTCTAAACAGGAGTGATGGACTAAGACACAACTTGTCATCCATCTATAACTCTGTTTTGAAATCTCTACCCAAACATGTGAGGGTTAAAAGACAGGTAATGACTCTCACCGATACCAGACCCTAATGACTCAGTCATTAAAGGACATTGTTGGCCACCAAAGGACTGGAACCTCAACGAATCAGTCATTAGGGGACATTGTTGACCGCCGAAGGACTGAAACACCACCCAGTGGGATAAATACCTCCTGCTCACCACCAGTCGGACAGAACTGTGAAGCCTCTTGGATGAAAGGCAAAACATCTTCTACCTAAAATTATGTCCAGATGTTTTCTGCTAATTTCTTTTTTTTTTTTTTTCAGCATCACCACCCGAACTTTAATAACTTTATTTTACTTTAGGGTTAAATTTCTGAGTTGTCTCACTCTGCCAAGTTTCAAGGGTGAGACTTGTGCTTTCAGGTAGGCCCGGGGAAGGAAAGCTTTGCATTTCGTGTGCTTATTATATTTTTTTCTGAATGTGGGAGGCCTCCCAGCAGGGGAATTTATCCCTCCCCTGCAAAGTATTATCACTGTTGTAAGGATACGTTTAGCAGTTTCATAGGTAGATGGGATTGTTGTCAGAGCTCTATTGCACAGTAGCTGCGGTACAAACAGAGTGTGTGATCTGGGGTTATTGGGAGGGAGGAAGCCTGGCAGAGAGACAGCTCTGAGACACTCACTTTGGGCATATTTGCCTTATTTTTCATGATGGTGATGACTGTGAAAACTATCCACTCACCCCAACCGGTCAAGGCAGTATGGCCACCCACCGAGAGTCAGGGTCTGTTGGAGGTTTCTTCCTGTAAAGGAAGTTTTTCCTCTTGGGTATGAAATCTTAATTCATAAAAATTGTAACTAAAAAAAATGTGTAGTGAAAACTACAGATGTGAAGCTGATACATCCACAACACTAGTGTAGCTGTATTAAAGCATAATATATTAAATCAGAAAGAACCAGTAATGCATTCATTCATATTGCCCTTTTAATAAATTAACACAGTAACACCAATACTACAGTGAAATGCATGGTCCTTTTGAAAGAAAATACTACTGCAGCACTTTCATCAAACAAAGGTAATCCAAGGCCACTTTAGAAGACATAAATTCAATTCAATCTCACAAATCTTCTCAAATATATACTTCTGTCATAAAAAATAAAGTTCAGATGTCATGAAATATAGCATTTAAGCCCATCCACAAATGTAGGCCTTATCAAAGGTTACAGTAAATCCATGCATGTATGGCACTGTCATGTAAATATTTAATTATCACATGTCACTTCAAACTGAATACATTTAAATAATATTTGGACCACAAACTATAATGTCCATAACCAAAATTTAAAACATCTCTCATCATTAGTAAGTAAATAAATAAATCCTAACAAGCTTCATTCAAATGATTTCAGGGTCAATCACACATAACTGACACCCTAATAACAAGCACTGCAACAATGCGAATGCAGTGAATGACAGCTTCATAGTTAAACTGACGAAACAAAATTAACATATTGATCAGTATGAATATGAGTAATAAATCAAGGAAGAGATGATTAACGACATCAAATTCAATAAATAATTTATCATTCAAAAGCCAGAAAACTGCTGTGATTTCTTATAATTAGTAACAGAACTGAGACAACATTGGATATAACTGAAAACAGGAAAATTCCATAGGATATAACTGAAAACAGGAAAATTCTTTGTCTTTTTTACAGTTACGTTTGTTCTCTCAGTCACTAAATCAACACCCACAGTGGTAATCCAATGAAGGGATGAATGTACTTGGCATAATTAGTCATGCATAATTTACTGTAGATCGAATACGTCTTCAAGAGCAACAACATCTACTGATTTCTGGGGATTCGAGATACCAATGTAAACATGTATATAAGACACCCATTAAGCCTGATATGGACACTCAGAAAGTTTTATCTATATTAAATGGAGCAAGATTGTGAATCACTGAATGCGTCTGGTAAAGCTGGTAAGCTATCCCCATAATGTGGTATGGGTTCCCCAACATGCTAGAGAGGAGGGAACAGACATTACGTACATCTGTGTACATGTGTAGCTACACAAAAGATTCACAAAGTATTTGTGACCTTATTAGTATCAGGCAAAATAAATAAATAATTAAAGCTGTTACAGTTGTAAACACTGTCACTACAATCGCCAAAATCTTAAGACTCTTAATGTCTGCCTAAATTTCCATACTGGTGCATCCCTCATCTGTGGCTCAGAAAGGTGAAGTGATGGGTTACTCTTGTTTTGTTCCAAAAATTTGGAGGAAGAAGGAAAAGATATAGATGACATCCAGATAGATGTTGAGAGTGGCAAAGACGTACTCTTCTGGGCTCATGCTGTACCGTTTGTTCCCCATGAGGAGTTGGGTGTCAAATGCCAAAAACTGCAACAGAAAATAAAACTAAGTAAGACATGTCTCTGTTGGTTTATCAGTTTGATATTCTACAATATAAGATCTTTTCTATCACTAATTCCTTGAAAGTATCTGTACTCTTACCATTGTAAACAATATAGCTCCCAAGGCAGCGTAGGTGGCATCCAACCAAGGTACCTAAATGACAACAATGACTTGATTAGATACCATTCCAGCAACAGATCGGCATGTGAAAGGTCCACTATGTGTTACTCTATCTAAATGTATGTGTGATGGTACAATTACTAAATATATCTCAAGTTAGACTGAGTCTGCATTAGTGTCACATGAAATATGTCAGACTGTCAATTTACACTTGTATTCGATGTAAGTTTATACATATATATCTTGGATGTTTCAAAATCCTCCACATTCCAATTGTACATAACACCCAAAAAGTGTAATTGCTTGACTGGGATACTCATACTTACATATTGAAAAGGAAGAACAAATGCCAGCATCAGTCCAGAAACGAACATGACCATGCAGAAGATGAAGAGCACGCCATGGTATTGTGTCACATCAAACTGGATGGAGAAAACACATGAAATCAAACCTCATCATGTTAATCAGCATGTCTGTATGTATGTCAGTGAAATTATCAAGTACAGAAAAAGATTTTTTTTTTTTTTTTACCTTGGTTTGGAAGCTGAAGACTGTGACAATGAGACAGACTGCTGCTGTGATGCCCAGACACATCACTACTGACTTAGTGTTATAGAAACTATTAAAGAGCGAGAAACATGCAAAGCTTATCAAGATGTTTCAAGCTATACAAAACAAAATACAGTTTTATGGGCCTACATCGATGTACACACAAAACACCTCACTTACTGTAAATATACAGTACATTACTGCCTAATTATCTAAATGCAAAAGCCACACTGGAAAATGAAAGAGGTGTGACAAGGTCACCACCAGGCAACATACTAAGTAAGACAGTCACATAAAACATTGATAAAACTAAAACCATACCTGGACAACATCCCTGTCATGTAGGAGAGGGAGAGGGTCTGTAACGAGAGCATTCATTATCACAAAATATGTTCAAACAATTATTTTAGATTATTTTAGCTGTCAACCTATGGTCATAAAATTACACATGAACAAATATTATCATATGGATGTATGATTTGAAATTCAAAACCTCTATGTGTAGGTTTGATTTAAAAACAATGCTCCTCAGAAAAAAAGCAGGAAATGTAGTCTATATGTAAAAATGTGTATTAAAAACATAACAAATATCTGCCTTGTACTTACAAAGATGGCAAGCAGAATCAGATTCCATGGAAACTGTCTCCTGTAACAGTGACAAAAGAGAGTTTCAATAATTTAGGTATTTTAATGTTTTTAATTTCAATGTTATGCTGTTTTTTTATTTTTATTTTTATTTTTACCTTGGTGCAGAGCAGCAAGATAGAGTCAGGTATGTGACAAAGAACACCGCACTGTTAAACAACAGAAACATCATCAGTGGTTGATAGAAGTGACTTGAGCCAAAAATGTAAATAGGAACTGTTTTGAACTGACTGAGTAAATGTGTTACTTACTAAGAGGCCCAGTACCACCCAGGGTTGGCTTGAATGTAGTCCTTCACAGGGTCACTAAAAGTAAGAATACCCAGTGAATTGTATCAGAATTTCTTGTTCAGTATTGTTAAACATGAGAGGTACAGGAAAAGGTCTTACCAAAATGTGAAAATAGCCACAATAGCAAGAGTGACCAACAGCTGGATCATCAAGATGGAATACACCTAAAATAGATAAAAGATTGAAAAATTGTACATGTTATAGTATGAGCTGGTCAGGCCTCTAAAGATTAATAATCTTCTTGAGGCGTATTCTAAATGATACAAAGCAGTTAACCACAATATGACGATAAAGCTTCTCATACCTTACGGATAAAAACCCGCCTAATGTTGCGATCATCCCAGGTGAACTCTGTAAGCATCTCAACATCACTGTAGCAAGGAGCGCTGGTGCCTAGAGAACATTTACAGTAGTTTTAGATTAGATTTACAAGGCATTTTTCAGCCAACATTTACTTATGCAATCCTATCACTACCACACAGTCCACAAAATATGATAAACATTGTCAAATGAATTTGTTCAAGACAATGACAGATGAACTTTGTGATAGAAGTAGTTGTCATACTTGCAGTAGCTTCCTCATAGCTGGGAGGAGTTGGTAACACTAAGGCCTCTCCACTGGCGGAGCCACTGGTGGTCTTGTTTGCAAGTGACAGCTGATATCATAAAAGATGAAAAATTTGTTATCTTTTAGATTATAGCCCGTGACTCATTTTAGATGAGTGTAAATGAATGTTTGAAGACAAAACAAATTTCTCTACATTTAACCTCAGCCTCAAATTTTGTAAAATGTCTCAGATCCTACTGTGTTGCGCTATGGTTTAGGTACTATTCCCCAGGATGTCAGTAAATGTATCAGGCAAATTGCATGATATAACAGTAAATATATGCACCTCCCTGAAAATTAAAAGTTGTAAATATTTATGGTGCAACGAATCACAAGAAAGTTAAAAGAGTTAAGGCAAATGGCCATGCTGCTCATGCAGTACTACTGTATGTGTTGTATTTTACAATGATTAATTGGTCAGGTTTTTTTGAACAGTGGCTCTAGAATTATAATCATTTGAATCTATGTTTTTACTTTAGCCATACCGGAAAGAAGTTTGGCACTGTGAGGTCAAAAACAGAAGTGGGTCATGTAACTCGTAGCTTTATATAGGCTAAATCCAAACAGCACATTCAGGTTCACTGTTTTCTGTAGGGAACAGCAGGATTTATCAGCAAATTACTACTTGTAATAACTTTAACAGGCTTGCAATCCTATTCTGTGCTCAGCTAATTTATCTAGTTAGCTAGATACCTAATCTATTAAAGTGACACAATATTTGAGAGAGATAGTCAAAAGGTTGTAAAAAGTGTTTTGACACATGTTGCTAATTTAAAATGTCACAAGTAATTATTGCTTTTGATTTTAAATTCTTTCTTTGGAGGATAGAGGTCGAGTCAGTAAGTCTGTGGCACTGCGCCTAATGTTTGGAACTATTCACTGTTCCCATGGTCCGCCATTACTGTAAAAAACTGTCCTTATAGAGTCACTCTCCTTCTTAATCCACTCTGAGCTATACTAATGTTTCCCTTCAACTGACAGTTCCTCTTCTCTTGGTGCTTATACTTGAGATGATATTTTATATGGTTTCTCTTTTTCTCTAGTCTACCTTTAGCTACATTTTTTTGTTTTCAGTCTTTACATACCAATTAAATTTTCAGCTGCTATCAGTACACACTTAAACACCTCCAGCACTTCCATAGCCACTGCAGTTTTAAGTTCTTTTATCAATACAACTTCAACTGAGTTGTGTTTTGGCTTCAGCTAAAACTTCAGCTCATAGCAGTGATAGCATAACCCTCAGGTATTTTAGCTGCTTTTAATAATTACATTTCAACAGACACAACAACTTTTTCTTCATATATTTCATACAACACATTAACGTTTAGCCTGTTTATAGTGTTTATAACTCCTTTTATAGCCTTTTACTTTAGAGTTTTAATTACAGGTAGACAATTGATACAATTGTTAGCTCCAATTTGAGCTGTTCATGTAGGTCTATTACATTCACATCACAGACAAGGCTCAGTTACCAACTGGAGAAAACAGGCAACTGCCTATGTAAATACCCCGTTAGGTATTTTTAGTCAGATAGACATTGGTTAGACACTTCATGTATTAGAAATGTTTAGTGTAGACAGGATGTCTAGCTCAGGCTGTTAAATGCTTAGTCATTCCCATGGGGTACTCCAGGTTGTTCAGGTTCAAGGATAACTAGATAGAAAGTTGATTACTGTTAGGAGACAGAAGGTTTAGTATTATTATTATGACTTGTGTAATCATAATATTTTCTTATGCTTAATGTCATGACATGTCACCAGATGTCATGTCAAAATGTTTTAGATACACACCACACAATCAACAGACAATCACACATTGATTTTCTTCATGCTTTGACTACTGCTATGGCCAGCTGCACAGCTGGCACC